CAGAAGCAAATCACCTTATCCGCCTGATCTCGCTCCATCAGACTTTCATCTATTTCCAAACTTGAAAAAGGTCATTTCCGGTACCAACTTTCGGTCAGATGGATGACTTTCTGAACGGTCAAGAAAAGGAATTCTTTAAAAGTGGCATTGAGACCCTTAAATATCGCTGACAAAAGTGAATTGATAATGAAGGGGATTACGTTGAAAAATCATGTAACATGTCCCCCCCCCAAAAAAAAAAAACCAAACTTTTCTTTCCATTTTGAAGAGATGTTACCATATTATTTTAGTCGTATACATACGATTTTATGCGAATGAAGCTTAGTGAAGTTTCTGGTGGGTTTCAAACGAGACTCTTTACCATGAATTCTCTCCTAGACTTCGATCCGATCCAGTGGTTACCAGCAAGTCTTCTTTCTGATTATACATGTAACAATGATAGTCTTGTTAATAATTACAGGTTTTCTGGATGCCTCCTATTCTATGTTACACTATGTGTTTATACTGATATCATGTCTCCTGTAAGAAGTACATTTTACGAGAAGTGAGTTCATCATTTTCCTTCAATTGTTTGATGATTGGAAGGATTCAAGGCCGACAGTTTAAAACGCATTGTCGTTGGTGGATAAAACTCATGGATCATTACGTTGAGTGTTTAGCTACGAATTTCAGTTTTTGGAACTTTCAATTGCCCGTTCTTTGTGTTCTGTGATTCCCAGTTAACAGCCTGAGTTTGAATATGTCTTATTTTCCCAGCAGCCATGTAATCCAGATGTTGGATGTTCTTCGTAGCAGGTATGCATACAGATACATTTGTGAGAGGAACGATGAATTTTCAGTGGATCTTGCTCGAGACTGGACATTAACTCGAATAAAATGAGTGCGTCCCACCTAGTAGCTAGACGGATGAAATCCCAGGAATGAGTTTGAGTAATAAATGTAAAATACTATCTACCTTTTATATGCGATACTTATTATTAGTCTTGAAACAGTAAAAATTACGAAAAGTGAAAAAAACGTATAGTGAAATGGGATCCTCTTAAAAACAAAATCCTGTCATATTAAAAAAAGGAAAACAATTCAAATCCATATCTAATAAAACCAAATGTGCCTTGGAATAAGACGAATGTATGAACGGGGAAAAATAGAGTATGTTTTTTCTTAAAAATAAACAGACGATATAGGGTGTCCAAAACTGGGTACATGTACTTAAAAAAACTCAGATGGACTTTGCTCTATTTAAATGGTGTGTGATGGAACAGTTAACACTTACATCTAAAAATGCACAGAATGGTAGGTTAAGGCATCTTTTGTTAAATCATCACAAAATTGTTGATGCTACAGAAACAAATTCTGAAATATGCTGATGGGTTTCTTTTAAAAGTGTCCCAGTTTGGGTAGTGTGGCGTTATGGCATAAGGTTTCAACTTGTTTTGCGGTGGCATAAACATAGAAAAGAAAATAAATAATTAGAATTATGGTCAATATCTGCCGGAACATTAAGAAAAAACGCGTTAGATTGTTGTATCCTTTTTAATGGTATTTGTCTAATGTTCACAGTTTATATTACAGGGTCTTAACAGATTAAGTCTCCTGCATTTACAACAGTCTACGGTGGTGAAAGCTTTTTATTTTGACTAAATAACTTGAACGTACTTCCTGACTTATCAAGGAGGCCATAAATTTAAAAAAAAATCGCCTTAATATACAACTTATGGATGTGGTAAAACTAATATCAAGGACGTAATCCTCCGAGAAGTAATTCTAGTTTTAAATTTTTGTTCCGGTGATGATTTTTTGAAAGATTCCACTTATTCTCCTTGTACTCCGTGTAAATCTTTCTTTTGTTTATATTTTGACGTAGTTTTATGGAATCTGAGTTAGGATTAGGATTATGTTGATAAGCTGGTATCTTCTGGATCCTTTATTAAGCAAAAAATCAAGAAGTTGCTGGACTTCTTTTTCTGATACAGACGTTAGAATATATGTGATAGGAAATAATTCATTTTCTCATACTATTCTCATTTCTTCTGAATAACAGATATTCCTTGCTAATTATGCGACAATGTTTTTCAAAATTATTTTTGCCACCATACTCCATTTTAAACTGAAACAACGCCTTCTCCGAGAAGGGGTGAATGGCGGTATAAATATGGGGTTGTTTTCTTTGTTATAACCATACATTATGATTAAAAAATTACGGTGATCGATCTTATCATGGTAATGAATCCCCGTAAGAAGTAAAATAGGAGTATTTCGCCACGTCATGACTGTAAATTTAAATATTGGTATTATTTTTGTGCATTATATTTTAATTTTGTTTTAAATTCCACTGTATATTGTCAGATATGAACAAAGTTTGACAATATTTAGAGGGCCATTACATGGCAGCTAAAAATCTCCAAGGTATACAGTATAATTATTTCCTCCCCAGTAAGTACCGCTATTAAATCCTTAATCATTTTACTTATTGCACGCAAGTCAATATCTCCCCAAACACATAGTATTGTTCAAATTCAAGTACAACTTATCAACACCAAATTTACTTTATGTAATAAGTATGGCATAAATCTTAAAAAAATAATTACATGGCGACAATATACCAATGTATCATTCAATGAATTCCACCATGTTACACATATTATTTGGGGATTAAAATTTATCAAAATGCGTTTGATTAGTAATAATTAAAAAGGAGATGATTTATAGCATAAGTTCATAGAAATCATCATTGCACAAGATATCTTGGTACCCACTACTGCTTGATCTTCATTTATTCTTTGTATCATTTCCATTCTTTCGTCTGATTTCCCCGTATCTATGTATGATCATCCTACCACACATTTAAGATTCTGAATTTCACCTACAGTAATTGGACATGATTTATTTGGCTATATCAAACATTGGGCTTCTAAACTTAGGCCCTTTGCCACACTGACGAGTCCTAGAAGGACAAAACAGCTGTATGATGCAGTTTAATTCATTGTTTGGTTTCACTTGTCCTACTATAAAAAGGTATTTAAAGGTGTTTTTCACTTGTATCTTCTGTACAATCTTATAGTTTCTTTTAGTTTGTGAAGAGCTTTATTTCTCTCCTTGTACAATAAACTAACCATACTTTTTTGCCGTTAATTGAACCTTGTTGTTTGTGTCATGATAAGTTTTCAGAGATCAATATCTATGCGTACACATTTACCTATGGATATGGAAAAGACATATAATTACGTGTAATTCTGGAAAATAACGGGTGTCTTCATTGTTTTGGAAAGATGGAAGACAAGTTAGTCTGTCAAAATAGTTTTGAGACGCAGTTTTTGTTGTTGTCTTCAGCTTCTTGTATACTCACAGACTCCAGGAATCCATCATTACTTTAACACTACCAGGGAAATGAAAACTTTGACTGGGTGGACGAATACATTTTATTGTTTATTGTTGTAACATGTAATAAACTAAAAAGATAAAGAAACACGTATCGTACATTGCTTTTCCATTTAACGCACATCCATAATTAATACAACGGGGGAAATTCAAAGAGCACCTTAACAAATGTCAACATCGAGTATGTGTGATCACGGAATTAGTTATATGTAGGTAAATGGTGAAACAATGCCTGTATGAGCTTCAGTTGTAGCTTAACAAAAGGGCTCTTATTTTCATTCAATCAATATCAATCGATGAAACAATTCCTATTATTCGATTGTTATCAGAATTCAAAATATCAATAATATTTTATTACGGAGATTGAAAGCCTCCATGACCTCGAAACTCCAAGCATGGAAGAATTAGAGCTATAGACGTTCGAGGACAGGACGTCTTAACCACTGATTCACTTAGAATATCATCTGTCATGACCATCTAACAAAATGGCATTTAAAAATATTTTTATAGGGTGTTACATAAGTATTCAATATTCATTGTTATATTAAATACAATGTTAAAAATGTCTCATGTAGATTTGAAGTTGCTGTACAGAATAGTTTTCAGTACATATAATTTCTGTTAATCGTAGGAGTTTTGGAGTACACATAGTTCAGACGTGTTGCCTACCTTGAAGCCAAGAAAACCAAGTCAGTTTTAGGGACATTGCTCTTGATAAGATCGTGTTCCCTTTACGAAAAGTGGTATCAGATTGTCATTGCTGTTTTTAATTTTATGTCAAGTTAAGAGGCAACCATATTTAGTTTCACTGCGAAGAAAAATGCTTTGACCAAGGTTAATGCATGAATACTTGAGTTCCATGCTCTGTATAGAAATACGTATACGCCATGAGTGTTAATCTATATCGAAAACAAAGCTTCGTTTCCTATTTTCTTTCCGAAGCTATAAACTTACACTTCTATTTTACCGTTATAAACCTAAGTAGTATTAACCATTTTTCTTGCAGAAAGAGAGCACTTACCTTCTCTTTGACATTTGATGTTTCACGCATAAATCGTTAATCAGTAACGACGGGTTTGCGTCTATAAGCTTAAATATATGAAATTATGTTTTCTGTTTCTAAACAACTACAGTGGCATTTTAATATTACCATGTTCCACTGTCCATTCTACAACCATCGTGTTCCATTGTCTATTCTACAATCACCATATTCCATTGTTAATCCTAAAACCATCATTCTCCATCGTTCATACTAATGTTCCATTGTCGATACCAAAACCATCATGTCCCATTCTCTACCGTACGACCATCATGTTCCATCATCCATATCACAACCATCATGCATGTCAAATTGTCCACAACATGACCACCATGTCCAACTGTCCATACTACAACCATCATGTTCCATTGGGCATTTCACAACCATTCATGTTCCATTGTCCATACTGCAACTAACATGCTCCATTTTCCATATTACAACCATCCTCTTCCTTTGTTCATTCTACAACTAGTATATTTTATCACCCATCCTATAACCATCGTGTTCCATTTTTCATTCCACAACAAGCATGTTCAATCCTACATATATGATATTCTGGCAATCATCATATCGCCTAACATGTTCATGATAAACAACCATTTATTCCAGCGGGCCATGTGAATAGGTTGCCTCTCTGTGGTCCCCAGAACCTGAGGTATTGTCCGGAAATTTCTTTCTGTTGCCTGAACTCATTTGAGGTATTGAACCACGCTTGCTTGTGGTGTTCGATCCATCGCCATTCTGATTGGTTGCCTTGATTCCAAGCGATCGTGCTTGCTCTTGATAAGTTCTTCATAGCTTTTCCTGGCTTGTGACACAAGGCACAGTAGTAAGACTTTAGGTGTAAAACCCGTGGCTTCAGACCTTGAATAGTAGCCCCACTTCTCATCAAGAAATCAAGGTCCTGAAATCAAAGCAAGAAGGACAAAAGTCAAATATCACCCCTACTAGACATTTTTGTTTCTTTGAAAAATGATTAAGATTACAACTCATATATACAACATTAACTATTCTATCATCTATTCTTCAGATAGAACATTCAATATGGTTGACGTTAACCCTACAGTTTTCATCATAACAGATACAAATGATAAGATTCTAGCTGGGACACTTCTACATTTAATCTGCAAGATTTAGAAAAGCAAAGTTTATATTTCGTGGAATTTTTATATCTTACCCTGAAAAGGTGTATTCACAGTTTTACTTATAACAGATTCCATTGCCTTATCCTGGACAAATACATGTATATCCACACATACATGTACAGTCCACTGGGCCCATATCGCTCACTCGGTATTCAATGTTCACCAAAGTTAGAATTATTTTCAATATCACAATCATATTGATATGTATACCATTGACATTCAAGGTGGTTGCATCCAATCAATTATAACCCATTTCCACAACAAATGGCTTCTTATACTCAACTCTAAACAATGACAGTAATGGCCTGTTTTAGAGATAAAGGCCGTTTTGGCTCGAAAAATATTCGTCCTCTGCTTTATTTGGTTGATCCAAAGAAGTTACTTATAGTTTTCTACAAATACGACCCCTGTGCACTTGAATAATGGTCCTGGTCATTTTGTTTTGCAAACTTTGTCGGGATTCATCTTTGGAGCCTGTCAGTTAAAAACCGTGCTTTTGTACGTTTTGGTTAGTCAGATGAAGTCGTTCAAAGGTTTTTACAAATTCGGCTCTGTGACCTTGAATTATGGCTATAAGCATTGACAAAACATGAACATGTTATCAGAACTGTCGCCAACAATACGATAATTATTAATCTTCATTCCCACAATTCGATGACGTAATCTAATGACCGCTATGTTAGCAGATTATTTCTTTAAGCAAGATATCTTTTCCATTCCTGATCGCTTAAAAGCTATCTCCACACTAGTCAATGTTGTTTCGTACTAACATTTTCACAAACTTTCCAATTAATTCATATTGTCATCATGTAAATGATGCCGTTTTAGAATTATGCCGAATATCTGTTACCCTTTTAAATATGTGTGATCATCTATGCAACGCTAATATCTTCCATTTGAATAATTGAAAATATTTCAATATTTTTTAAGTTATGTCTTGGAATTATGGCCTCCTTGCAAAATATCTAGTGTAAAAGAAACTTTGAAAGTATAGAATTAGGGAGGTAAATCAAACGATTTAGTCGATATTAATTTCTTCTAAATATAGAAGAGGCGTAGAAATATCTGTATGAGATAATTCCAAGCTGTCGAATAAGATACGATATCTTATTATATTTTTGCTTTCTCTCTTTAATCTATATATCTTATTTAGATGTGTTAATAAAATTACAGCATCAACTGCTTCGTGTATTAATCTCAAAACACATTTTATATCCTTTCCGCGTTGTTTGGTCCTTTTTTGGTGTAAACTTCGGTCCAAGCTATTCATAGCCCAGCTAGCAGCTGATCTAGGTGATGGCTATATACGCACAGAGTCTGAAAATAATTAAGCATGGTTCTGTTCTAACGATAAGGTTATCTCAACCCTTGTGCGGGAAACAAAACCTTGAATAAAGATTGACAACAGAGCCATGTAATATATTAATCTCATCCCCAACGGAGTGAAAGATTCTTATAATAATAAATACCTTGTGGATACTTGCTTTCACTGATTTCTGGCCCTTGTTAGGGTTACTATGAGTTGCAGATAAAGACAGTAGTTTGATCTCCACCTCTTTACATATGGTGTACAGGGGGAAGAAAGATATCTCCGTAGTCCTGTACAATTCCCAGTAATCAAACCATCTTTGACATGCCTTCCAGTTTTTGCGTCGACAATAACTGCAATCAAATCAGTTTTACTTTAGATAATGAAGCAGTGATTTTAAATAATGTGAGAATACTGTCACTGTCAATTACTACATTGTAATTTACATAACCAGGTGATATACAGTGTATAGGCCTACTGGGGTATTATATTTCAGTCAAATATGTACTTACTACATAGCCATGCACATAGCCAGGTGGTATCTACTGGGACATTCACCTCTAACTGCATCTACATTCTTAAACAGGTTTGTTGAATATGTCAGACAGCTGTGGAATTGTTCAGGACCAGAATCTAAGAGAAATGAATTTTGAAAAAAATCTGTCAAAATCTAATGTTCATGTTCTGATTGTTCCAGAAGACTAAATTCTTCCACTGCAAAAGAAAACTAATGTTTTATTTCATTGTACCGCTCGACTACAGGGAAATTAACAAAGTGACCTGCACTTTCAACTTCGACACTTTATAAACATTAAAACAATTTTATACTGATGGATTATTTGCTGAAGATATATTGGTAAATTAATATTTACGTGGCCTGTATAAAAGATATGTTGGTAACGTAAATTAATATTTTAGTGGTTTGTTTAAAATATATGTTGGTGCCATAAAATAATATTAATATGGCTTGTATAGAAGATACGTTAGTGCCACAAATTAATATTAATGTGACCTGTATAAACGATACGTTGGTACCGTCCATTATATTTAAGTGGCTTATAAACAGATACGTTGATTTCACAGATCAACATTGAAGTTGCCTGTATTAAAGACACTTGGGTACCAAAAATTATTATTAAAATAGCGTTTATAAAAGATACGTTGGCACTGTATATTTATACTAAAGTTGTTTTTCAAAAGACACGGTAATGTAGATCAATGCGAAAGTGGCTTGTATAAAAGGTATGTTGGTACCATAGATTAATGTTTAAGTGACCTGTATGAAAGACACTGTGCTAAGTATCAATCCGTCTATCATTACCTTTATAGGCGTTACACACAATACCACAAGTGTTCTTTTTAGATTGACAAACACTTTGGTATATTATATTACTTAACACTTTTCAGATGTTAAGCTATCCTTATATTGTTACATTATCTTTTAAGATGAAAACGATGACCGACAACCTGCAGGTCGGCCAAAGTAATTGCATGCTTTCTTTCTTTCGGTATTGTTTTCACACTATCAATGCATTGCTGTCCGTCACAGTACGTATGTTTACTTCAGAATTTTTGTATATTTTTGCAACTTTCGTCTTTTGAAATTTCTAGCACGGACTTATGAGGTACAATAAACAGAACGTAGAATTAATATAATGATAAGGAATATTACAGAAGGGCATTTATTCAATAGTATTAATTAATTATTTAAAGATTGTGACATTGCTGTTAATATTTAGTGCAAAATATTATTATGGCCATTTTTTTTTCAAGCATCTTACAAAGCATTACTTACAAAATGTTATTGGACTTGACGGTAAATGTCTTTTTTTTTAATTTATTGAAATAATGCATGATATATCCTTTTCAAACTTTGTGTATTGGTTTCTCTTCATATCAATTTTTACAATGGTCTCATTTTTCGACTTCGGAAGAAAACAACCCATAAATTACATTCTTGAGCTATGGTATCTGACAATTCTATGCATTAACTGGTGTCAAAGAGGAACTTATTGCAAAAAAAAAAAAAAAAAAAAAGAGAACATTCATTCGGTAGAGAGAAACTTGTCAAGCAAGAGAAAATATGTTTAGTACTTTCACAGCGTATACAATAACAATTAAATATCAGTATCCAAGGTGGAAGCCTGTCATGTTGTTTTCTTTATCAGTTAAAAATCTCCACAATAAGCGACCGTATAAGGAACCTTTAATTATTTATTTCTCAAATATTTATTGTCAAAATCCTCAATTCTGCCTGTAAAACGATTGAACAGTTTCAAATTGAACACCCTTAACATTATGAACCAAATAGGTTTTGCATCTGGAAAAAAGATCTATACCAGCTTTTTTTGAAAAATAACTGTTAAATGTCAAAAATTCAAGGTTTCATATCGTCCCTTATGTTTTTTTCCTGAACAGATTAACATCTAAGGCAGTTTAATGTGACAGATTGATGCCGGATTAACATGCTAAATGACATAAATTCAGTGATAATTTGCAGTTGAAAATAAAACGATGTGACTGGCAAGTCTTTTCTATTTATACTGCATTACTTTGAACAGCTCGTAAATGAAACCCACCACCATTTAGGACTAGTTCCAGACAAAGAGCATAATACCAACTCCGAGTAATCCTGTTCGTTTCAGCTCCTTTCAGCATCAGCAGAATGTCTATGCACAAGTCAACTCTGTTAAAACAAAATCAAAGTTTGCAGATCAGGTTTTACATATACCCCCATTCCAAAGTCTTTATTTCTAACTAAATCTGCTGAGGTTATCATAAGATATGTTGAGCATAAACTCTCCTTAATTAAGTGAGGAAGATGAGTTATAACAACATGAATACTGGACAACATGGTAAACATTCCAAAATAAATATCCAGAGCCCAAATCTATCCTCATGGGCCTTGTTACTCTGTAGGATTGCCTTTCATCCATAAATGCCCCAGAACAAATTTCATCTAAATCGTTGAGAAAATAGGCTGCATTCATACAAAATTTGAAATTACGTTGTACTGAATATTGAAAAGAACAGATTTTTTGTACATCATACTCATAATTTTGGTTTTGGATTCACTGTCAGTTCATTCATTATCAGTAATTATGAAGGAGCTTCCATAGGCTAAAATTGATTAGTTATGAGTCAATATTTAAACACATATCATTGATTACATGTAGGCTCTGGATACTTGGTTAGGAAGTACATGTCCTGATAAATAATGTAAAGCAGTATTTCTCAAATAGTATGTACATTTAACAATACAATTGACAAATTATGCATGTTTTACATGTGTATATGCATTTTCGAAATAAAATATTTTGATTGATGTGAATGCTGGTTATGCTGTGAATACTATACAAAATAAAGAGTTTAAACATCAAATAAAGCAAACAAATATAAAAGATACAAGGATAAAATTCTTTCAACTTATGCAGCTGAGGTATATCTATGAATGACCGTGTAGTTTTCCTATAATATGGAAATAGTGTTATGAGTCTATTTTCAAAGTCACATCGCTTGATCATAGTGTTGCTACAACACCTGGATACTTGACAATGCAACATTTGAGGTAAGCTTAGCCCTTTGTTAATCATGCGTCGTCTATGCACTTTTCACATTTTTAGTTCTCAAGAACTGCTGAGCCGATTTAAACCAAATGTTGTCACAACAAACATTAATACCCAAAGGGGCAAAGTTATTGTTCCCCATCCTCTGGGGTTCATGGCATGTGGCAAAATCAGTAACAGTGCAAAGCATGTTCTGTTATATTAAATATCTTCTCTTCCGGAAGACAAATATCATTAAGTACCATATATGGTTGTAATGTCAAACAGAGGCTCTAGCTCTTTAGAAAAAATTGTAATCTCTGGATATACCATCTTCCCTCCAGGGATATTAAACAGTTGTAGGGAATGACATGAAGATAATTCTGACCTATTTGTAGTTTCAAGGTGACAATGTAAAAGGTCAGCGAGACAAAGAGATAGTAAAGCTGCCAATAATCTCCAAAACAGTTGCGTTTTAATATACTTACCCGGGGTTGGCAATTTAAAACATTTTTTAATGTCTCACAAAATACCACTTCCTTAACCAATACCTTGTCTGAATGGCACATGATGCTTATTTATGGCATTTAGTTCTTTTTTTTTTAACCCTTTAACTCTCAGGAATTTTTAATGAAACTAAAGAAAATCTGTCATTTTGCTTCAACTTGAATTTTCGCCCTTTTCCAGCTAACGTATTTGTAAGCAACCCACATATATCTAGAGACGTGGGAATACAAACTTTTGAAATCTGTTGACAAAAATCATGTTTTAGCAATAATGATGTTACCATAGCAATGAGAATTTTTAATATGTTACAAAATCTTAAATTTCCTATCATTAGCAAATATTTTTGATGATATAAGTGAATAAAAAAAATATTTCCAAACTTCATAGTGTTGTCATCTACTGGGATAGGAACCTAAAGATATGTATATTCTAGAAATTTACTCATTCACGGTTGCTGCCATGGTTACCAACTCGTTTTTCAAATAGAACATGTTAAAATTAGAAAATTTTATTTGTGTCTGCCCAAATTTCACTAAATAAGAAAAGGTTATATAACAGAATTAGTAGTTTGGTAGTCAACCACCAGAATATATAATGGGAATCTGAAGAAGCTTCTTTTTGTATTTTGAAGTTGCCATGGCAACCAAAATTTTATTTTTTTTTTACACACGTTAATTTCTGTTTGTAAACAATTTAACTCGTGAAGCATCGAATGAAAAGTTATTTTATTCATAGTTTGTAAGTTCTGATCTATTGAAGAAGTTATCTTAATGCATTTCCAAGCATAATTGAATATTTGTTTTCAGATGTCAGTGTAGATAACTCAGTTTGAAAAAAAAAAAAGTTACAAAAATACCAGTTTTAAAAAGGTTATACTTGTGAGCAAGAAGGAGAGCAAAACCAAGGCTTAGTCCTGTTTCTTTTTTGATAGTGTCATCTCTGAGATTCTTAGACAAATCGATGCAGCTGAAACCTGTAAAACAACAAAATTGCAGGATGGTGACAAAAGAAACTCTATAAATAAAATAAAATAATTATAGTATGCTCATTTACTGATATCCTGGATACCTAAGTTTTATCTGAGGTCAGTAAATTTAGTGTTCAAGTGATAATCCAATATTTGAACGAGTGTGGGTAGTAATGGTCATAATGGCTTAAAAATCTAAAAAGTAATGGTCAGTATAATCTCAGGATATGAATGAGTGTGGACGGTACTTTGTCCTTGCTCTCTCCATATGAACGCGTGTTTAATATTTTATTACCCATGTTCAGTGCCTGAGTGACGTTGCCCGTCTCCAGACTTAAAGTGCAGAGGTCAGAGTATACTTGGGACATAAGGACACAGTCACTTTTAGTCAACTCTTTGTAACGACCTATACACCTGGAGAAAAGAAAGTCGGTACATTATAAGCTTAGATCATTTTTTTTCAATACAAATATGCCAGTCAAGACGTTCACAGGTTTATATTTGATAAGCAAGAATTTCATTAAATGAATACCTTTATTATGGTTTTTGTTTGTTCATGTGTTCACGAACACTGAAAACAGGTTTACAATATTTGATATCACTTATTACTTTCATTTAAAAACCCTATCAAAATTAACAAAACAGTGAAATATAATATGAACACATTATGTATATTTCATGGACCTTGAAGTAAAATGATAATTGATCAATGGTGAATTGGAAACACATTTTATAATATTATTTTCAGTAGAGTGTCGAGATAATATGAAACAACCATCGTGATGATGTCAAATTTAAGACAACTGAATTCATTCGCGTGAATGATATCTACAAGGCAGCAGTCATGGAGTGGAAAGTTGTGTAACATGCCTTTCAATGAGCTCCAGTCCAAGTCGGATTTCCATGTTTTTGTCTTTCTGACTCTTATAGTATTTCATCACAACATAGTACCCTTGCACCACCTACAAAATAAACTCATGTAATGTTTTGTGATTTAATGTAACTGTGAAATAACTTATTATCAATTGATATTTATTAACGTGATTTCGGTATATTATGTAAAGCAAGTGCTCCTTAGTTTGTTACAAGCGTTACCTGTATTCGTTAATTCCTGTTGTATTGTATTATTGTCAAGGGGTATAAGTTCGACTTTCAGTGACCGATCACGTGCACGTGACAGTCCTATAGAAATGTAGTCATGCGTAGCACACCTGCAAAGTTGAACGGGAGTACGACCTTATTAGCTAGGTTATTTATTACGGGTATATAAGGCCGGGTTGTTGGAACATCGGGGTCCTTCTCTCTTCCGCAGGAAGGCCTTGTTGATGGTGAGATATTATTGAATAATTGTAAATCTCAAAGGGGAAAGCGCACTTCGCCAGACGTCCGGGATTGCCACAGTGAACAGTACATGGGTTTGGCGCGGACGCTGGGAAGTTATTGGCGTAAGGGGTAACGCGGACGCCGGGAGCTGGGCCGAAGGTTACTAGGGCGCTTAGGAACGTATTGTGGGACGGGCGAGGATGATGGCGAAGTGTGTTCCTCCTTAGTTAAGTTGGCCTTAGTTTTGCCAGGGAACTATTGTTATTATTCGACGGCGTAACGTCAGCGTTACGCCCGTATCTTGCAGTTAGCGCCGGGCACATTGACGCCCTAGTTCTCCCTTAGCCGTACTCCCGCTAGTAATGTAGTGTGTTTATAGTTGTGTTTTATGTAATGTCCGACTCGTAAAGAATATTAAATCTTTGTGTGTGTATACGATTTTTGTCTTCATTTTGCAAACAAACACGATTACTAAGGACGCCAACTTGGCAGGGAGACGCCTACAGGAGAAATTAACAGAACAATTACCGGAAAGGGGAGATAACCCTTACACTCACAACTGGATCTCCAGTTTATTGGCAATCTGAAGAAAACAAATGTTTTATGAGTAATGTCGAAATCAACAAGCTGATTAAATGTTTACTTCGGTATTTTAAAAGCAATCAAATGACTCGATGTCAAAATATACTACTTAGAGTGATGAAGGATACTTATTTTACACTTTGTTTAGGTAAATAAATCCCCCTGATCATACTGATAATTTTAACCGATCACAAGTTTCTCCGAGGTAACAATTAAACATCATTAATCACGTGAATATTTTCAATAAATTAGACCAGTGTAGGGTTATCGTGCAATCGCACGTTCGTTTAAAATAACGTGCAAATATTCCATGAAACTTAAAGTTCTATGTATTATTCGGCTTTTAAACAACCTAATTTTGCAAAGAATAATATTTTCAATTGGAATCATATTGATATTTTTCCAAATCCTGTAATCCAACACCATATATAATTACATACGCCATTTTGTCTACGCGTTATTGTTAGAATTTAAATATATCATATACTGAAAATTATTGTCGTTGGTTATAATGTGATACATATCTATAGCAATGTGGTAACACAATATTATGGTGAGTAACGTGTATTACATTTCATGTAGACACAATGGAATAGTGTAAACCATAGACTTCAGCGTAAGAAAAGTTCAAAACTCCTGGTAGAGCAAAAAATCATGTACCAATTGAATATTTTTTTTCTTTCTATCTTAAGAAATTTATTTGTTTATTTTCTATTTTGATAGAGTTATTCATAGTTACAGATATAGGCCTTTTTGCCAGATGAGATAAAACTGAATTGCCACAAATAGATGTTGAGAGGAACTACCATATGAAGTTTGAAAATATCTCTCTGATACTTCTCAAGATATGGCGATAAAAATATTATTTACAGACAGATGAGAGGTTGATAACAGACCTTGGATAAAGGGTGATACTGGGCTAAAAACGTACTAAAACAGTCAAAATAAAAAATGGCCAACCGTAAGTCATATCATTTTCCCGATCAACATGCACAACTAAGTATAAATGTGAAATTTGAAAAAAAAGACTATTTGCTCATGGTATTCTAAAATTTGAAATAAATTATTTTGAACAGAATAAATGATAGCAGAGGTGTGGTCATGATGACATTGTAGGCCCTGTTTCGTCTTAAAGTTTTACCTGGTGAAGAAGCGGAATCCTGTTAAGGATCTTTGATAGGTGTAACAAGGCACAGAGAACCATTGACTGAGTGTTGTCATTCTCCTGGTAATGACTATAAAGGTCCAGTAGACAGTAACACTGTTCAATAGTCGACTTGCTGGCAGGTAACATTCTGCAAGGATTCTACAAGCCTTAGTCATATTTGTAAAGAATTGCATACAAACTGCATCAGCTATAGTAATTTCGGAGTTTTGCTATGCGACTACTGTCATTTCTTTGGTCATGAATTCGCACAAGATAGCCTATAAAGATCAAATTACTTGTACCTAATGTTATAAAATCTCGCGAAGATAGGTCATACGTATTTCCTGTTTGTTCAATTGTTTATACAATAATTGCATTTAAAGGCATTTCCCTGTAATAGTTACACGAGCACACACGCACACCACAGGACCTATGTATTGTTAATCTGAAGGAAATTGTCATTATGTCATAACTATAACTTGTATGCTTGGACGCACATATGTTGTTAAGTGATTTTCAAATTTGCTTCTGAAAACTATCGAAAATAAACGTATAGTTTTTTCTTATTTGAACTTGCATCATTTTTGTTATAAAGATGATAACATGTAAAACAAGCAGGTTGGACACGATTACGTAAAAAGGTAAAGATGATGGATAACAGAGCCAGGTTGCACACAGGGATCTCGCTTTTATGTTTATCTTAGTCTATCTAGATAGTTATCTCAGATACCAAGTCCTTTGTGAGTTATCAGATATAAGTTCATCAAGAGAGTAATTTAATTGAATTACAGTTAATTGGTTATATGTCCGCTTAAAGTATTGTTTTAGATTACAAATCCATCTAGAGAATTACATGTATCTCAGATATCTAGAGAGAAATCTAAGAGAAAAAGTCCATTTCAAGCTAACAAGGACACAAAGAGAGTTATTTGAGATTAAAAGTACATCAAGAGAGTTATGTTAGATTACAAATCCATTTCAAGCTTACAAGAACACAAAGAGAGTTATTTGAGATTAAAAATACACCAAGAGAGTTATGTTAGATGATAAATCCATCTAGAGATTTATCTTAGATTACAATTTATCTGTCATTAAAAGTCAATCCAGAAAATTGTTTTGGATTACAATTCCATTTAGAGAGATTACTAGTCTATCTGGAATGTTATCTTGCATTATAAGTTCATTTGCATCAGAGATTACAAGTCCAACTAGGAAGTTATACTAGATTACAGGTTCATCTAGAGTGCTGACTCAGATTACAAATATTAGATTTCTTCTGTTATAAAGGGGATAGTAAACGAGTTGTTGATTACCGTGCGTCTCTATTCCGTATGAAGAACATTTTCAGCTTGAGAAATTTCATTTTCAATTTGACGCCAGTCATGCGATCGGGTTGTTTCAAACCAACTAATCTTGCTGCTTCTTTTAGGCAGGTATAACACTGCTCCTCTCGTCCAACTAGCTGGAATGTCTGTTCAAAATGAAAATTTAGGATTTTTAAGAAACAAAAGAAAGTACAGAAAATATTCTATAAAACTATCCTTTATAGTCTTTATAGTATATATCTGATAAGATATCAGGAATTAGGTCGATTGTAGCTAACATGTATTTAAAATCTGGAAGAAGAAATGTGATAACAAAAGTTAAAAATTCCAGGAAAAATTAATTTTTATTTCAGGAATAATTATCATAAGATTAGTATAACTGTTGTATGCATATCCTCCACTAATTCTCATTCATTGGTATATACCATATACGAAGAAGAGAGGCCAATAACCCCCTAGAAAGACCCTCTTACCTACCCATCGTACCTGCTACCGACCTGAAATACGTCCTCCTGTCTATGGCGATGAGCTGGCCTGCTGTATTCAACTTGTCTTAGCAACATTCCACATAAACAGGGCTGTATCCACATTTATTACTGTGACTTGTTCACTTTTCATAACGGTTTTACAATTTATTTTTCTTAGTTATACATTGTTATGTTGATTTTTGGCCTCCGTCCGTATTCAGACAAGTGGTGGCATGTTCATGTTGTTTATCGGCCATTACCTTCGGATTTTTCGCGAGTCTGGCTTCTGGTCTGGGCCTCAGTCTTCCTTCCACTGGTTCCTATCATTCTGTGACTGGCCCGAGTTTTTCGGTGTCTGGGAACCAGGCGTCTGTGTTGGGCGACACGGTGGTATATCAGTCAAGCGGTATCCGCCCGACGCCTTCCCCTAGTCCTGGGTTTAATCATGTCTGTGCACAGAGTCTTCTGGGTCAATAAAAGCAGCCTGTGATTTGTTTGAGTAATCCCCTCAGTTATCACCATAGATCGTACATGCCCGCGTCTGTTACGAGGGAGTGGCGGTTTTTCTTCGGCCTTTGATCAAGGATTAGAGACTCAAGAAGGCTAGTTTGCCAAATCCTAGGGATGTTTCCCAGCTCACGGAACCTCCTTCCAACACTCAGGACTTCTAGGCTGCCGCTTCTTGGTCGGTTCCATTTTGCTCAGTTCAAGGGGCTGAGGTATCTAGATTTGTCTTCATGCCCTAAGGCCAAGGTGGGTAAGCTCTCCAATTGCATCTCTGTCATTTCCTCAGGTGCGCTATCCTCAGATATGGACAGCTCGGAACTTATGGACTGTGATAGATCGGGCATGGCAGAATGTGACGTGCTCGTACTTTTGCCTAGGTGCTTTAAGGTCGATGACCTCTGCTCAGAATCCTCTTCTTCAAATAGTGCTGCTTTTGATGTCGAGTCCTAGTCGAGGATGAGGTGGTAGCTGAGGCTCCAACCTCGTTTAGAGCATACGTGTCTTTCGCGCAGACGTTGCTGTATTCTCGGCGATAAATTTTGCCCACCTCCTTCTGCGTCATCGGTCCCAGAGTCCATCACAATGCTAAACCTAAACCTGCACCACCCAGTTATATGACCCTGCCAGAGGCACTATTGTGTCATCTGCTCTGGCTATTCCCAATGCACGTGTTGTGGGGAAGAATTCTTCTACTCGCCCTCATCAATGAAACTAGTCTGTTCAGCGGGGGTTTTCCTACTGTTCAGAAGGATCTGAAGGAGACTTTAGTGGCCTCTGGCATTCTTTTCAAGAAGCCTTGACCCAGGGTCCTAGTTCAACACAGGTTTCTGGGCTTGCTGCAAAGACCTAATCCCAAGCAGCGTGCTGCTAGAAAGAAGTCTAAGATTGTTTTCAAGGCCAAAGGGAATAAAGGAAAATGGTGGTTACAAATCTCCTTTCAAGAGCTATTGCTTTGAGGGAGGCAGTATAGACCATGTTATGTAAGGGCGCAGTTGAGGAGATTCCTACGGTGGGATTTACGACTGGCTTCTGCTCCAGAAAGTTTCTGGTTTGGCAGCAGTCCGGTGCATGGTGTCCAGTCATCTTCATTCCCATCAAGAAGTCGGCAAGGAAGTACCTCCAGAGAAAGTCTCATGACTTTGTGTTCCCGGGGTAATGTTTCAATACGGTGAAGGCTCAAGACTTGGCCTAAGTCTTCATGAATATGTCTCAGGTTCACTTGCCTTGGTTCCTGAGATTTCTGGGGTATCTCAACTTCCTGACAGATATGGTCAAATTGGAACGTTTGCAAATATTCCTGCTCACCATCTGGATCCTTGCTTCAAGAGATTGGAAAGTCATGCTCCCCTTAACACAGTAAATGAAGGACTTTGTTACTTGGTCGACTTGCCAGGTCTACGGTTTTCCAAGAGGTTCCCCTTTCGGGCGAGGGACAGCGAGGTTAGCGTTCTCAGTTCAGGGCTCTTGTTACGTCTTGGGCTCTCCTCTCATCTCTTCCTTTCAGGAGGCTGTTTTGGCTGCCTTCTGGCGAGGACAGATCACATTTACTAACTTTACCCGCCTTCATTTTCTGATGACATCTTTTTTCTCTTGGTCCATTGGTTGATGAATGGTAATAAGTGGAAGACATGCATACATAAGAAGTATTTTATGATGATTAAATCTGATCAAAACACTTCTCACTCATGGAAAGTTTTGCAATATAAGTGGGTGTGTAGAAACAAATGGTAATTAGTTGTATATAGATGTCATTTCATCGAGTGATAAGTATTGTTACGTATAAACAATAGGCCTTAAGGGCTTACACTCATCAAATATATATCAATATGTTTGTGATGTAACAAGGATTTAGACTAGATATGCAAAGGTTTAGAGCAGGGGTAGATGAATTTTGCACAAAGTCCGTAAAAGGATAATCAGCGCTCAGGGCTATCTGTGATGTTAATCTGCCACCTGCTTTAAAACTATTGCCACTTTTATTATTGACAAATTGTACAGTTAAAGTCTCAATGATCTTTAAACAAGAGTTCCACAATGTGAAAAAAATATATGCTCTACATCTGCCAAAAACATTGTAACATAAAACAAAATTGAAGGAAAGGTAATGTTCTTTCAAGATGTAACTAAGAGAGAAAAAACAATTGTTATTGTAATAAACTTTACAAAATTTCAAAGATGTTACTTTTAATATGATGTGGAGGAAGAACAAAGGACTATAACTCTTGTGTTATGAGGACGACCAATCCATTAGACAGGAATTAATACTAAATTATGAGATAAAATGTTAACAGATGGTGTTCTATAGGTAAACAAACACATTTTATTTTTCAGTCTTTATTCTTTTCTGTTTATGCTACTACGTACTGTCAAACAAGAATACTAAACATTGCTAAAGCAAAATATTTCCTCTACTGACCCCCAAAAGGTATTACAATGTAAACCAATATGATCCTTCAGACCAAATTCCGTCAATTTTTTTTTCAGAAAAACATTATTGGCTAATAACAAACAATAACTGTCAAAATCCAAGATGGACACCAATTGGCCATTTTGTTTTCTTGACCTGCAGTTCTATAACGACAATGTACAATAAGGAACCAAGGGAAACCTACACATGAAATTTGAGAATGATCTTTCCAGTGTTTCTCAAAGAATATCCGTAGTAATCTATGACTGTTAATTTCTAAGTGAGAAAGATTTGTGGGGATCTATTTGTATTTTCTGATTAATGACAAAATGAAGTAATTTGGAACTACTCGAAAAATAGCAATAACAAAAGTTACCTATGGATGGAGGGGGAAACGGGAAAAGAGCTGGTTCATAATTCATGAAACACATTATTTCTGAATAGGCACATTACCTTAGCCCAAAGTCTGTTTGCTCTGGACTTAAGTATAACGAGGGACTCCGGACCTGTCTGCTTGTCTTCCTCCATTTTCTTCAGCACTGAATCAACCTCTTCCATCATGTCCATTGCCTATTAGAAATTAAGATATTTAACATCTCAATTATTAATTTGTAGTGTCTACTTAGAAACAGTTAAATGGGTTAACCCAACAAAATCTAAGTTTTATTTACATCAAGAAATGGCGGTTATATAATCAACAAGAGTCCACATGGCCTTAACCGTCATAATATTTTTATAAAGACTTGTTGTGAAATGACATAGAAATCTTCTTGTAAGCAAATTAACTCGAGAAATGTATAAATGTTGAAAGTGCTTTTGCCATGAAAATTATATGTATGGGACAAGGACCATATCATTTTGATTCTTCTCTTGGAACCCATCAAAAACAATACAACTGCCCTATCAAATATTAAGAATACTAACTAACAATTGAAATGCATTTGATTCCATGGGAATGAAGACGAGAAGACCAATAGAAAAAGTCATGAAAAAGTTATTTTGATGAAGACAATGATGTTGAGTATTTTCTTCTTCTTAGACTCTCAATTTCTATTCATTTTCACTTCATCTGACTCCTTATATCACCACCCTTGGACAAATCCTCAAACTAAGTTCGATACTTGGATTGGCAATCAAACCAATTGCTAATTCCCTGTATAAATAAAATTAAAGTAAGCACGGGATCACAAAGAAATACCCCTCCAGCGATCAAAGTGGTCAAAGGTGACCTTTGATCTTGACCAATGACAAAAATCTAATCTAAACCTTGGCGATATGATGGTATGGTGTGAAAAAGAACAAACACTGTTTGAAGCCACACAGATGGGCGAACGGACATGACGCAACTCTTAATGTAATACCTGCGCTAATGTAATAATTGTTACATTAAGCGTTGCGACCGTTACGCTTAATGTAATAAACTTATCTTTATTACATTAAGAGTTGCAATTGTTACGCTTAGAGTAATACAAAATAAATTATTACACTAAGCGTTGCGGTTATATATAAATTACCGCTAATGTAACAATTTTTACTCTGTTACGGAAGTACATTGCGTGTCGATTACAAGACAATATATGATATGACACGGCTGACGGGGATCATCATGATGTGTATGCATACAAAAAGTGAGGTAACTGGCATTTTAGCCACATGCAAGGTTTGATGGCATTCTAATAATTAATCTAATCATAACTGAAGCTAGACTCGGAAAACAAAAGTGCAGACGCCCGTACATCCGAATGTCTGGATGGACAGACGTATGGACGAACAAACGGAAAGGGTGATTCATATAGGGCTTCCGCATCTCGATGGTTGGCCCTAATGATACCCAAAATGACATTACAATACAAAACAGAAGACTCAATATGTCCCCCTTCATTTCAGACTTTATTACACCAAGGACCTTCGGCGCTTAATGTAATACAAAAAAAATATGACATTAAACCTAGCAGTTACATTAAGCGTCGTTATTACACTGAGAGTAGCATCAGGGCAATTGGATGAATAAATGCAAGCATAGGCACACAAACGTAATTATATACATCTCTTTAGCCAGTGGGGAATATAACTATATCAAACTTAATCATCCCCCAAGTGCAAATTTGAGATCCTAAAGACATGAAGTTCACAATTTTAGTAAGGCACTTTGAGATGATTCGATCAACAATAACAGACTATTTGATTTTGATCCACAAAAAGTACGAGATCAGAAATTTCGTGCAAGAAGTCAATAACTATAAAACTCACAATACAGAATTTAGGAAGAAAAATTGCAAGTTGACAAAAATGGGAAAGTTCCACAGCTATCATAATATATGTAATCTTATTGTAAAACTTTCTATTTCCTTATGCGATATGAAGCTGGACATGTTCGATAGTATACCTGTTGGTTCTCTTGTTAATTCTGTTATCACTTGGGAACATGACATTAATTGCCTGGACTGACCAAGATTCTTGAAAACATAATTTTGTCAAACACCTATATACATTTACCAAATGTATAGCTCATTACCTGTTCAGCTTTGCAAGTCACAACTGTCGCTGATGCGGCTTCCAGGAGCTGCTCAACTAGATTCTGGTAACATTTAGCTGCCTTCCAATGGTAGATTATCATTTTATAGGTGGGCAGCAGGCACTCAATCATCTCGTCTGTAGTCTGGTTCAGTGAGAACTGTTCCCTAAGAACTTGCACCAAGGGATCCCGCTTACTTGTTAACAGTTAAATGTAAATTATGTACTACTAGTCAAATGTAAGGTACCACATTTACTTTCACATGAATTTCAGTAATTTGAGCAACTTGATACTACAATAGTTGGATTTTTATTTAAAAAAAAAGACAAGAGTATTATTGAAACCGACGAATACTCCCCCCAAAAGACTCTATTGGACACGTATTTTAACAAAAGGCAATAATTCTGAGAGGTTCTGAGAGGTCATGGGCCCAGGCTTTGCTCCACTGTACCTTGCTTTTATATGATTGATGTATACATTACATTTCAATATCCTGGTTTAAGTGCACGTAATTTAATGCTATGGACACAAAATTAAGAAAGGACATTGCTCTGTAATAAAGGTGCTGTTTGTGTTACAACAAATAAACATGTGACCTTTTCCTGTAACATGATATAAACATGTAACCTCTCCCTGAAACAAAATATAAATATCTAACCTCTTACTGTAAAAATGTTATCATATATCCTCTTCCTGTAACATTATATTAACATGTTATGTCTTCTAGTAATCTTTTTTAAATGTTTTCTTCAGGATGGTAATGTCAATAGAATAGAAGATCGTATGACACAACCAGTAAAAGATTAGAGCATGTTGTTTCGGTGACTTAACGGTCACAGTCATCAGACAAATGACCAGTATAAAGGGTACTAGCACTGACATACAAAGTGTACGAGAAGGTAAGGAATTGACCAAGCTTTCAGCTGCACTTTAATCCTGTTCACACTAACGTCAAAATAATTGCGACGAGATATTTAACAGTTTTTAGACCTAAAAATACGCAAGATGATAACAATGTACTGTAGTCAATTCAACTACTGAACAGGGACTAGGGGCCACCATGACCACGTGTTAAACAAAAAATAGTCAAATGGATATTATATTGTTACCATTTGTTTTGTTTAAATGAATGAATCGGGATTATTCGAAAAGATGGTGAAAAAGTTCATTAGTAAGGAAATGCTTCACTTTACCAAGGCCATGGTAAAATTTAGCCCCTCCCCACCTTTAATTTCCCCATCCCAAGATACATTTTTTTGTTATGTGTGAGTTTAAATGAATGGATCGGGGTAATTAGAAAAAAAATAGTAAGAAAATCGTGAAATGCTTTACTTTACCATGGCCCATCCTAAAATATCACACCCCAGACATATTTTTTATGTGTGTGTTTAAGTGAATGAATCGGGGTAATTAGAAAACAAATAGTGAAATGCTTCAATTTGCCACGGCGGTGGTGCGTTTCAACACAATTGTGAAATGAACCATGCTTTACTTTACCATGGGCTTCACTTTATCTAACTACACCGGATTGGGCTTTGAATTTTAAGTCTCCCAAATTTTCCACTTTTTATATTCACATGACTGCCATCAGAATTACACATGGACAGCAGCAAAGACATCAGTTGGTTAGTTCCGTCATCATCAAATATTTCAGGATGCACTACAATCGATTCCATAGATAAAAAGGAAGGTTTAGGGTTTGTTTGTATATACGGATTTTGTGGAAATGCCTGCATGCAGTTTTAGAGTCTTGATCAAATTGGCTCAAGGTTTGTGTTTCAAATTATTTTCACTTTGATGGATGCTGATGGGGTAAAATAGAAATCCATCTTTTAACAGTAGTATTTTTTTCTGACGGTTGTTAGGAATTGACTTGTGGTTGTGCAGAGTGCATGAAACTTTAGCCAACAAATAAAACAGTCGAAGCAGTTTAAGTCCTACAATATCAAGATAGACTAACACTACCAATTTTATGACTAGTGTATATGGGAAAACTTTGTTCATTTCCATCCTGTTATCAAAAAGGCAAAATAAAAAGTAGATATGGTTCAAAGTAAAGTAATGTTTCCTTAATACATTATCATATAACTTTACACTCTGTGTTGAACAAAAAGTTATAAACTTATCCATGTCTAAATTCAATATCAACTTAACTTTATCTTTTTTATAATATCATTCGGGTGAAGTATAATCATTTGTTACCATATCACACCATAGATCAGAACAGCACACCACATTCGAAGTGAAGTATAATAATTTGTCACGCATTACACCAAAGATAAGTACAGCACACCAGATTGGAATGAAGTGTAATATTATTTGCTACATGAAAAAATTTGTTCTGGACGCAAATTTTTAACAAAGGGCATGAACTTTGTAACTAAGGGGTTGTTGGCTCTGACTTTAGTTGATTGCACATTGTCTTAGTAAGACCGATGTATACATCAAATTACTTGCCTAAGTGGGCACAGTTATGCTCCTGAACTAAAAGGACAGACCTTAAAGCAGCGACGACATGCTCCCTCGAAAAATTCTAAAGGAGCATGAAAGTAGCATGTAACTGTATGTAAGGACAGTAGATATGATAATTTTGCTGATTTATGTTTATAAAAAAAGAATTAATATTAGTGCAATGTTAAAGTGTTCTATTACAAAGATTTCATCCTGAAAGACAATACATACTCAGTATCCAGGGAAAACCCAAAACGTCTCCCACGTGTCTGTTGATACAGGTTGCTGCTTATATCCTCTACACGTGAACTTCTCTTTTTCCATCTTGCCTTTCTTATTGCGATATCTGTAATATCAATATCTATCTACTAAATAAAACCAGATGAAGAACTTGAAATGTGGTATTATGGTGTAAATTATTATTATCTAAATCTGTCTTGGGTTTCGTGAGATATCCTGTACATAAGATTTTATATTGTGAAAGTGGTCAAAGGTAACCTTTAACTTTGACAGGTGACCATTAAAATTTCTTAAGGTGTATATCTTGTTGGTATGAGTGATGTTATTGTGTAAATATAACCTAACTTTTATCAGGGCTTTATGTAAAGTATCCTGCACAAAGATTTTCATGTTTTTAAACTGTGGTACATCAAATGTGTTTTTTCATACCATGACAAGTCGCCACTAATTTTTTCAAGAGTAGAATAATGGTCATACATACATCAAGTGATTACTATACACCCGCTTTTATGAAGCTTTGTCATTACTTCTTTATCAGTTAATTGAAAAGATGTCATATCACAACAAGTAAGAGATTATGTGTGACGTTTCAATGACTAAATTGTCATGTTCATTTGCCTACACCGAGGTTGCATGTAGTGATATGTAAACCATATTCATCGATTCAAAGTATTCGTATCGATATGGATTAAAAGACAAAAAGCTCGTATTTTAGGAATTTTAGTTTGAATTATGATTATGATTCAAATGTTTTATATTTATATCTATAATAATATAAGTAGTGCTGTATTTTAATGTGTTTTATTATACTAATCAGTATGTATTTCCAGCGCCACAGAAGTACACATCAAAAGCGGTTAAATATGTTATTTGCCTTAATTAATTTTAAATGTTTACTTGATCTCAATTTTGTCTAAATATGATGTTAAGGTAACAGGGCTGTGTGTTGTTGAAACACGTTCTATTCAGTCTTTTTAATTTTATGATTTTTAGATCTGGGTTAAAGAAAAATTTTAAAAAAATAAGTGTCCGTTTTCTATCTCTCAGTAGCTGTAGCTCTACTTTATACTCTTTTCTATATTTGAACATGGTATTTAACGAAAATCAATTCGTGAGTTTCTGTTCAATAGGTAACTACGAACAGCTGTAATATCAAATACACCAATCAGTAGCGAACAATCTCCTTCACACTATCAACTACACTGTATGACTACTGACATTCTTTACCTGATCCTATCAACTCCTTTTCGCTGTTTGCTGAATTTCTTCCCAGTAAGTAGTAGGGAATCTTTGACCTGTACTTATCAGCCTGTTTCTCCAAATACTCTGCAGCTTTGGCATGGAGTTCAAGTCTCTGGCTCTCCATCAAAATTTCATAAGCAGTCTGTTGTATCAAAGCATTACGAAAACGCATTTTATTGCACAAATCCTGCACATACAAGTTCTCTTCTTTAACACAGTAACAAGTGTCCCATGATATTGTGTCATCTCGTCCCTGCATCATCTGATTATACCGTCCTGCTGGTATGTTTGCACACTCAAATATTCCATTGTAGGCAAGCTGTTTGAAGCACTTCCTTGCCTTCACTCTCTGTACTCGAGGAAGGATTGTCTCTACCATGTCCCGGGAGAAACTCGTCCCAAGTACAGCAGCACATTTCACAATTAACTGTTCAGAAGCTCTCATGGAATCTATCCTCGTCATGATAAGTTCTGATTTAGAAATGAAATATCAAATAAGAAAACCTGAGACATTTAGTGTATTATCTATTATAGACAACTGGGGAAAAAGTCTTTTGTTGCAATGGTTTTGTCATTTAATGTTTGAGGTGAGATAAATGAAAATTTTGATTATGGATTAGAATTACGAATCATCAGTTTTGAAGTTATTGTAATTAGCTCACAAAACCTGCAAAATAAAAAAATTATGAAGATATTTTAGAGACAACAATCGATGAGATCACTTTAAATCTGACAGAATTACTTAATGAAATATATATATGATTGATATTTTAAAACAGTCGATATCAAACATCACCTTTCATAGATTCAGGCACCTGAATCTCATTGGGATTTATTCCAGGAGAAAATACAGCAACTCTTTCAATCTTTGAATTATTTTCCTTATCCTCATCAGGACTAAGAGGGATTTCTCTATGAATAAAACCCAAATCTGCTAACATGTTGTGGCCAGACTCAGATTTCTGCGAGATGATCTGTAAAATTGTAGTATAATTATTGAATTGTTAATATCAAAACAAGCACTTAATCTACGATGAGTATCTTGAACTTAATCCGTCTCTAATCTGTCAAAACTGATACATGTAACTGACAGGTCTTTCAACAAGTGTTTGAAGAGCAAGAGAACCAAAAGACCTATCACAAAATATATTAACATCTCCAGGTAGCTTGGTTCTTTTCGACATATAAAAGAACATGATGTCTGAAAATGTTCCCCTTCACCAAAGGATATCCCAGACCACCCATCATTCCCACAGGAGGAATAGGAATTTAAAGAATTTTGCTCTAACGGGCCCTCGTTCAGGACTAGTAGCTATTTGTAGTAAAGTTGACGGATAGATATTTGACGATGCCATAGCTAAAACTCAGGTCCTTCAGACCATGTGAGCTGGAATTTATTCAAAATTTGAAATACCTGTTCATAGTCATCTTCTATAATAGTGTTTTTTCGCATGCAATTGTCATATTTCGTATTTATAGTTTAATATATGTTATTAACATGCTCAGTCTTTTTGGTGAATGGCTACGGAATGAATATGAACTCATAACCAGAAGGATCTCGCTTATGATTTATCTTTATTTGGTTTTTAAAAGCTCGTTTTCTTCTTTTTTCTTCTCTCCTCTGTTTTGCTCTCCAATATATGAAATTTGAAACTTTCTCTCAAGAAATAAAGATACTTCTTATCTTAAACTATTAAATTCAAGATGGTTGTCTGTCGACCATTTTGCTTTGCTGATTATTCCCAAAAAATAAATGGGCATAACTACGGAGTAAGGAAAGCCTACATATGTAATTTGCTTCATCAACTATTTCTCAAGGAATAGTGATAGCAAATATTGTTAAATGACTGATGAGGAACAGTGGCAGATAACAGCTATCTGATGGCGGGCTTAAAATGTGTACAGGTAAGGATTCCTCATATAGTTTCAGTATTATTTTGAATACGTCAGAGGGAAAATCATAATTATGTACCACTTGGATGCATGTTCAGATACCAACATTTATTCATGAATAGGTAATGGAAATGCCGTTTTTTCCCTTCTTTCGAGTGCAAAAATTTTGAGAAATTAGTGTTAAAACAATTCAATAAAGATTTCTATGTGTGATTTATCATTTGAGATCATTTACTCAAGGATATATAATAATTAGCCTACCAAAAGTCATTTTTTTTTGGTAAACATAGTCCTGTTTGCAATCTCATATGATTTTAGCGACTTTTTTTTTTATTAAAACAAGATGTTGTTTGTGCATAATAACTTATTGGACTCAAAAAACTTAAAATGAGACAAACTCTTTTCTTTTTGTGAATGTTGGGCTTTATCACAGGAAACTACTAACTAAATATCATCAATAGTGTTGGGCAGGTAAGATGTCAAGAACTTACAGAGGAACTTTTGCAGAAGATTTTGTTGCACTGCCTTAAGTCCAGATCACTTGTATCGTCATCCGTGTCAAGACGACGGATAAATTGACTGGGAGGTGCCACCATTGACTCAAAGTGTTTAAAATGACCACTGTATTGCAGAATAGTCAATTGTTTCTTTTCTACCATGTCCACTAGTAACTGTTCACACCAGGATGGCACACCATGGGTCATCTCTCTTAACATTCTGAAACATTCATAATTGTATGTCGTTAACATAACGTCAAATAGAGGAATAATGTTTTAAGATTCACCGTGAGGAAACCACTACCTTCCACATTTTAGCATGCATCAAATCTCTCAATGTATCAATCTTACTCCACATTTATGTTAGAGTGACCAGTCAACTCTCTTCCTATACAAAAGCTGCCTACTTTGACAGCCTGCCATAATGATTCTATTCACATCAACGGTGCACTTTTTAAAACCTAATTTGTATACGAATCCCCATTGTTAACAACACTTTCGATTGCTAGTGTGGGAAGCCTCTTTAATGTACCTGGGTTTTCTAGAACTGTTGGTCCATCATGTCAGAAATCTATCAAACAACTGAAAACCTGCATTTTCTTTATTGTATCTTACCTTGTTTGCACTGTTATACTAAAGACAGTAATACTTTTTCCCATATACGATTCTGTATGACATGTTACAATTCTAATGCAATGAATCACAGGTCTAGTAAACTTAGATTGGCACATGAAGCAATCACATCGCCTTTTTTGAAAGGATTATTTACGTCAATCATGATTTTAGAAACTTTTTATTCAACCTCATCAACGTATTTCCGTTTTCAATTTTTGCTGTCATTTATTGTTACACCATGCTCATTTTGATCAAGTGATAACACATTAGAACTACATTTAGAAAAAAAAATGTGTATGTGATGTGTATGATGCGTGTATATATATATATATATATATATATATATATATATATATATATATATATATGAATTTAAAAAACAAATCAACACTGTCTTGAACTAGTGCATTCACCATATCAGAGGCTATTCAGGTTTATATTGTGGTAATGTTATATTTTATGTTACACAAAAGTTTCACCATAATAATTCTGTAATTAAGGGATTTCGGCATTGGATTTGGTACACTTTTGTATGATAAATATATCCGATTATTCTAGTTTAAATGAAGGTAAAGTAATGCCATCGACATGAAATTTTAATACAGATGATTCTGCAATTAAGGCATTGCAGGCACTGAATTCGATACACTGCACACCTTCCTTGTATGGCTAACGTATACAGTACCATTATCCTAGTTTTAATGCAAGCAAGTCAATGCTTATAGTTCAAAACTTCAACAAAGGGCAATAACTCTGAAACTAAGGGATTGCAGGCCCTAAATATGATATATTGCAAAACTTCGTAGTATGACCAATGTATACATCACGTTTCATTAACCTAGTTTGAATGTAGGCAAAGTTACGCTTCGAACACGAAATTTAAACATAGGGCAATAACCCTCTAATTAAGGGGTTTTGGGCTCACACATTGGTGGACTGCACGAAAGGACAGACAGACGGACGGATAGACAGACAAAGCAGTGATTATATACGCCATCGAAATTGTTTTGGATCATAACAAGTTCACCACACTGTCTGGTCTTATGCTATAAACAATCCCGCCAAAATGAATGCATACTGTTGTTATGAAACAATCAGAACCAGACATTGAACCGGTTTGCAGAGGATTCACTAGGGCGGGAAAATATGGTGAAATGCACAGAAATGTTGGATCATTGACGTCTAAGCTGTACGTCTTAAAATCGGCAGCAAGTAATAATCAGCGACAATATGAGTTGTTCTCTCCAAAAAATAAATTTAACAATAATTATTATAGTCAGCGACATCATAGATATGATCTCAATACACCATTTTACTAAGTTTCATGTTTATGTTTGAAAAATTGTTAAATATTCCTCCATCGCAATCAAACTAAAGGAGTCGGTGTCTTCGATAATATATCTTAAATACTAAGTAAAATCAGTGACAGCTATAGATATATACGATCATGATACATCAATATACGAACTTTCAGTTTCATATGTGAAAAAAAGACAGATTTATGACACTTTTACACGAGCGAGAACAGCTTGGCATACCACATAAGTGCTTCTCGAAACCAATTGACCAACGACGACGAACGACGCTGAGAACAGACAAACTCCCAGTTAAATCAATTTAAAAATACGTCAAAAGACCCCTTATGAATAAAAAATAGATCATTAGTGGCATCTGACAACCAGTCAAAAAGTTTACGATTGGAATTGTAAGGATTGGTAAAAGTACCTTACAAGAGGCCCATTGGTCTTAACGTGCATCTGACTATATTGACCGATATATCAAAGAGGCCAAATAGGTCTCTACAGTTTACATTGTCGCTTCATAAAGACTTTTTCTGCAAACTTGAAATCATATTCCTTTTACGTGCTACTACACAAATACCATGACTTCTTGACTATAACTTGTAGAAACAGAAAAAAGATCATAACTCATTTGACCCCTGCGATCTTGAAAGAAGGTCAACATATATGTAATCATTTGACCACATTTGGTAACCTTTCATCAAATTATGTTAAAGAACCAATATCAACAGACTGGACCTTTTGATTATTAAGCAGTTGTTTGAAGATGTGACCCCTGTGACCTATACAAAGGGACACGGTCAATCACATGAACGAAATTGGTAACCCTTCATCCCAGTGTGCCACAAGCCCAATATCAGCAACCTACATATAGACACAAGGAGTCCTACGTGAAGAAGAGAATTCAAATCCCTCGTTATCATTTGTTAAAAAGATAAGTCTTGATGACATCAATGCTAATATCGGAGCCAATATATCTAATAGCCAATTATTGGTGAATTTTAAGCCGTTTCCTATCACTTTTTGCGATATCATGTATTTGCAAATATGCCTGAAGAGGTGAGTTCGCGAAATGAACATCATATTTATCTACACGCAGATTTTGTTAAAAATCTGTTTTAGTTTTCTGTCTATGAACATTCATTCATTCACATTCTGAGTTTACTACTTATTTGACCAATAGAAAATTCATCACGTCTTAAGCAATTTATAGCATAAAGAACATTCTTTGATATGCAATTCATATTTGATTTAAATGTAAACTTCAATCCATTCTGAAAAACAAAAGCACTATATTCATTTACCATAGAACATGTGCCACACCAGGTATCTTATATTTCGACATTTCTGACTATGAAATTTAGAAAAAATTCAATATTTGCTTCAAATCTTTAAATTCTCTTCCCTTTCCCACACTCCAAAATCAAGTTTAATGGGGTTTACTGAGAGTCTGAACAAGATTTCTTTAAGAGGGCTTCATTTGGTCACCATGGCCACCACCGAATGATAACCAATTTTTCTTTTTAAATGGTACCACTGCATTTGTCATCCTCATAAGTGCTTCCATGGTAAGGGTTTTGGAACACCTAATATGTAAAATTATAGGCTATGATTTGCTATAGCATTTAATAAAGTTCAAATAAAATCAATTAAAGGGCTTAGAATTATGGCTCTTTACATGAACTGGTAACCATGGCAACCATAATTTCTGCTTAAAAGCCTTCATGCACATTTGCGCAACTACACACAGTACCTAACATCTCTGTATAGTTTTACTGAAATCGGTCCACAACATCAGCAAAAGAAATCTGGAAAAAAATCTGTCTAATCATGGAGTTTACGTTACCAAAGCTACCAAATGACCTAAAATGATTTTGAAAATTGTACCATTCTAATTACTATCCCTTAAATCCTTATACATCAATGGAATCGGAAGTTTCCAAATTTCAACGAATCAGAAGCCTTCATCATGTTTCCGTATTTATGGCTTTGGAAATATATATTGTGACAAATAACAAATTAATAAATTACACCACTTGATCAAGTTTTAATAAAATTGATTAGAGGATTGATGAATTACGGCAATTATATGATTAAAAAAAATCATGTGTATAGCTATCTGGTTACTATGGCAACCCAAATTTCTACTAGATAAAAATTCTTCATGAACATCTACACATGGTCCCTAACAGTCCTACGTAGTTTCAGTGAAATCAGTTCACAGGTTTATGAAGTGCTGTCCAGAAAATGTTTTTTCCATAATAACCTGTGTATATAGACCTGGTTACAATGGAAATTATAGTATTTTAAAAAAAGAAAGATATTTTATTGTTGACGGTATGTAAAAGGTCCCTTTTTGATGCCTTTTTTGTATACCATTTCACATCACCTTTACTCGACAATTCTGAGCTTTAAAGTATTGTTTTAATTGGCATATTTCAAACTCGGGTACAATAACGATGTGTAATTCAAATCTTGAGCCTTCGAATCAACAACATTACCGTGTATGACGGACTTTGTAAAACAATTGACGAAGGAAGACAATGTGTAACTCGCATCCTGTCCAGGTCTTAAACTAATGCTCTACGGTACCAAATTTCCCAGCCATAAAATTCCAAACTGCTTGACCATTACACCACCACGACATTCCCTTTGAAGTTAATGTCGAATTGGTTAAGAGTATCCTGTTTCGTATAATGTTCCCTTAAATCTAAATGTGTATTTTTTCACTACTTATTGTAAGTATGTTAAGTAGAAAATCATACAACATATCCATATTCAAACATTATCAAGAAGCAATTGTCATGAAGAACCTCATTTTGTCTTAAAATATATTAACCAAAACAAATGTTAATTTTATCAACAGACCGTTCCAGCTCCTTTGGTATCCTGCTGACCTCCATAAGCTGGCATGCCAAAGCCGTCATAAATTTACTTTCAAGTCCAGCAATATCCAGCAGCTTCACCATCTTGCAGTCAAAGAATTCTGATGCAGCTGAACAAGATGGTGCCTCGACTGCCAGTGGTCTGACTGTGCTGACCACAATGACTCCTGGAACATTGATGAGAAGCAGCAGAAACATCCAGGATTTGGGGTCAATGTGATGAGCATCATCAAGGGCAATCACAGCGCCACCTAACTTTTCAATGCACTGTTGAGATAAAAAAAATCAGGATACTTACAGATACTTTTATCTATAACCCCAGGTATATACAACGCCTGGGCCTGTATTGTTCTTCTAGTTCAGTTTGTGATATTGCTTTATCTGAACTGCTGTAAACGTGTTTTACAGATTTATATCTATTTTCCCTATTAGACTCCTACTCTCTGCCTCAATGGTGGTCAGAACCATTGTTTATAAAAAATTGAATCCCTTCATCCAAGGATCCTTCAGACCAAACTGGGACTGAATCCATGCATCCCTATAGTGGAAGAATATCAAAGAATTTTCCCTATTAGGCCAGGCCCCTACTGCCCCATAAGGCCGAGGCCCATGATTATTACAAAATCGATTTTCCTTCATCAGAGGATTTTTCAGATCAAATTGAGATAAAATTCTTACATTCCTAAACAAAAAACTCATACGTGGTATTCAATGTTCATCAACAAAAGGGTCATGATCTTAACAGTTACCTGACAATCGACGAAAGGAAGGACAGAATTCGCTGATGGTGGTCTGATAAAATCTTTAATGAATCAAATCTCGAACATTCCATGAACGTATCAGAAACTCATAAATGATAGATTTTGTTTAAGAAAAAACAGAATGGCTAATGTGGTTACCATATTGAAGTTTTGATCAAGCTCAAAAATAACATCCCTCAGACCAAATTTTTGTTGAAATCAACTCAAGTATTAAGAAGGAGTAACATTTTAAAGCAAAGTGTTGTCTTACTATCCTACTGAGGTCACATCCCCAGGTTCCTAGGGGTCGAATAAAATTTCGGAATTAAGAAATAATTCCCAAACCAATGATGTTTCAGACCAGTTTCCATTTTCATCCAAGATATTGTTATCTATCTGAAATGCACACCTTTGACTAAGTGGCGATAACCTCGTTGTGGGTAGCCAACATATGTAATGTCACATGTTCAACGCTGTCAAAACAGTCGTTTAGAAATATAACGGGCTGCTCCAATAATGCGTTTCATATGCAAGCTTTTTAGACCCCTGTGTGATACATTCTGTTGACATTTACGTGTGTAGTATATTTTTGAATCCTAAGTTTTTTTTAGAAACAACTTTTTGCAATTTCAATAATGAAATTAGTTCGTATTGAGCAGACAATCAATGTACTTTATGCGGGTGCCCTAACACACGCTGTTTTTTTAACTGCAATCCAAAAGAATCCTGTTTTTCATAATTCATTAATGTAAGGACTGGAAGTACAATTATAATACTTTTGATTATCCAATTGGTCTGTAGGAAAATATTATGAACTCATTGTTCATACAATGAAAACGTAACTGATTCAGAATTTAAACATATTAATGAAAGCGCACCCAAACTCTTTCTTAAACAAATACAGGTATACAGTTCAAATTAACAATAATTACACCAGTACCAACTAAATTTAAGAATGTTGCAAAACGAGAACTGTCTGTTTTAGTCTCACAAAGATAATTAGTGTATCAATGAACCGTTTGCTCAGCTTAAGCAGTTTATTCGTAAGTGTTTTCTTCAAACTGAGTAAAAACTTTTCCTTGTAATCGAAAACAATCCTTAAGAAATTAGGTAAACTTGGAAAATGGAAGACGCATAATCTATACCGGATATAACTTCAAGTATGGTTACCCAGCGCCAACCTGTTGACATCACTATGATGTCATACTTTTACACAGGTATAAAGGTGTATATTGGGATTCTTGTTGTGCATGACAGCACATGACTGGTGAAGTAGCATTTTAAACAATATATTGCCTAATTTCCCTTTTTCAGGCTTCGCCCCCAGTCCCTTGGAGTCGGATCAAGAATTAATTGCCCACTCCTAATGATATAACATAAAATTTGAATGAAATATTTTTGAGCATTAAGAAAAAGAAGCGTTCGGAAAGAAATGTTGTCTCACTTTTGGCCCCGCCCCAAGGTCCCTAGAGGTAAAATAAACTTCCTGAATTCAAGAAATAATTCCTCACTCACAATGATGTTTCAGACCAAATTTGGTTGAAATCATTAAGAAAGAGTAGCATTTTAAAGCAAAATATTGCCTAATTTCCTCTTTTGGGGCCTGCCCCTAAGTCTCTAATCATCTTTCTGAATAAAAGAAAAAATAATTGCCCACCCCTTAACATCTTAGTATAGTGCAGACGCAGTTTTCTCCAACCTTTTTGATTTTGAATCATAAACAATAGTAATAAATTCATTTGTATTTTTATTCTAAGTATACTTTAAGTTTCAGCATCAATCAATAACTTGACCAAAGAACTTTCAAAAATGGTGAAACTAGAACTACAAAAATAATGATAAAAAGAATAAAATAATCAAAATAAAGCTGCAATTGTTTCATATTTGAATACTTCTGACAGTAAAATTTTCTATTCTTCTTAGTATAACTGGTGGTTTCAATGTTATAAGCATGGTCTTATGATTTAACTCCGATTTGTCTCTCCTTGTACTGTTTTAGGGTGTCAATGTCAGTACTTCGTATCTTTATATTTTTCTTCTTTTTTTTTATATTGTGAGATGAAATTGATTCTTTTACTCACCTCATATATATTGGTTTTTAATTACTGATTGTTGGATCAAATTGGTTCTTTTTACTCACCTGATATATAATAGTTGTTAATTATGTTTTGTTTAATAGTTATGTGAGACTTTTCAATATATATTATTTACCACAGAAGCTAAACAGCAGAGTAATTCCTCTTCTTTAACTTGGATTCCCTCAGCAGATTCTGATCTCTGAAACTTAGATAAAAAGAGGCCCAATGAGTCTACATCGCTCACTTGGTATTCAATGTGCATATCACAAACATATGAACATTTACACCATTGGCATTCAAAGTGGGCACATCAAATCAATTTTAACAAATTTCCACCACAAAGAGCTTCTGATACTTAACTTGAAAAGGTGATAATTATGATTTTAATATATAAACAAGTGATAAAGAAACACTGAAGATGTTTCTCGGCAAGACGTCGAGTATGATGTTGAATATTTAAAATAAGAATGAAGATTAATCCATACAGAAGAAACTGCAAAATTAACAATTTGTTTCTGGTAAGTGATTTAGGAGTAATTGAAGGAAAATGAAAGAGAACTCTGTAATCTGAAATCGAAATGGACTTCTTGTAGAGGCTGGCTAGTCAATAATATCCCCCAATTGCTCTTTCCACAACCCTGATTCTCCTAGGCATGGAGTTCAAAAGTGAGTTTATCCTTCTCATTGGTATGTTGGCCCATTATTCCAAGCGAACTGCTCTCAGTTTGGCCAGAGTAACAGTGGGAGGCTGGCGTTGTCGAACCAGTCTATCCAGCTGGTCACCAGTGCTCAATAGTGGATAGGTCTAGTGGTGGATATTGTTGTTAGTGAGGAAGTCGCGATAGATCCTCGTTACATGGGGCGGAGCATTATCCTGCTGGAATGTGAGGTTGCTTTGCTGCAATAATTGGACATGAGGTCGGATGATCTCATCTCTATACCTAGCAGCAGTTAAAATATCCGCTACCACAACCAGTGGTGATTTAACTCCATGTGAGATTCCTCCCCACACCGTAACCCTTCCATCCCCAAACCTATCCGTCTCGAACATCTGTTCGAAAAAGGGTGAACCGGGACTCTTGAGTAAACAAGACCCGCCTCACCTGCCTCAATGGGAATATATATGCTGTCATATAAGCCATAAGAAGCTGGCGACGAGCAGCGGTAAGGGTCAGACCTACAAACGGGTGACGTGCCCGCAGACCAACTTCCCGGAATCGTTTCCGTAAAGTTTGTGCATGGATAGGACAGTTATAAGTACCTATGGTATGAAGGGCAGATTCAGTGGCAGTAAGGTGCCGATTGCGCAAATGCACGAGACGAATAAATATGTCTTGACATTGTGACATCACGCGCGGACTTAGATCTGTCAGCAACCCGCCCCGTTTCCCTTAAACGTGTAACAAGGCGAAAGTATTGACACCGAAATCTCTGACAACCTGTATTTGCCTTTGACCTTACATAATCTTTGCAACGGCCTGATCCCTCTGAATTTCCGTCAGCCATGATGTGCAACATGCTTGACCGATTTCCATTGTTTTTTTTTTTTTTTTTGAACAATGCGTTCGCAAGACATTGGAAATAATGCCACCCTGCGTTTCTTTATTCATTGAGTATAATTTAGAAGGAAATGCCATTCCTTATGTTTTCAAAATCTGTTGGGTATTGACCTAGAAACTCCTTTCCGCCAAATATCCTCCTTCTTGGACTTTTGGGTTAAACAAAGTCTTTTACATGACTTTCACAAGAAATCTGATTCCTGTGACCTTTAATATCAGTCAAGGTAATTTCTTTTCACCGGCCTGGTCAGGTGTCATCCTAGAGAAACCTATCAGTTATATACCATGCTTCTGCACCTTTTGGTTATCAGAAAGAGCATATTACAATTGCTTGAACGAATTGTATAAAAAAGAATCAAGATAATTTCTTTTTTTTAATTTGTCGGTATTCATCATAGTAACCTATCCAACAAATACCATGTTTCTGCGCCTTTCTGTTAGTGAGAAGAAGTCGTTTAAAAGTTTTAATAAATTTGACCCCTGTGACCTTGAATAAAGGTCAAGTTCATTTCTTTTCACAAACTTTGTTGACATTCTGTGCCTTTTGGTTAGTCAGAAGAAGTTGTTTAAATGTTTTAACAAATTCGACCCATGTGATCTTGAAGATCAAAGTCAGTTTCTTTCGAAAAAATATGCACATGACCATAGACAAATTTGTCTGAGAAACAAAAAACGTGGAGAGCCATATATTCAGGTCTTTGTGACTCCCCCAGGCTTGTTTAACTTTATCTCAACAAGTCAAGACTTCCACGATATTGTGTTTTCTCCTCGCTGACTTCTATCACAGAGGACTAATATCTATCAATATATCAAATTTTCAGTCATGACACTGCAGACATGAATTCCCTTTTACGAAACTGCATGATAAGCATGATTTTTCTGTCTATGGTCGATTAGTCCACTCAAGGTTCCTATTCCGATAATCGCTGATTTTCTTCTGTCCTTGTTCAGCAAGCACAGTCTAACACCTGGAACTATAGCTGGCTATCGATCTGCTTTGGCCAATGTCTTTTCATTTCACGGCAGACAGGAAGACATCACTTCCCATTCTTTGCTCTGCTTAGAGGTTTTGATAGGCCTAGAATTATGAGGCAGTTAGCCCCACCATAGAATCTAGAATTTATTTTGAGTTCCTTGACTCAAGCCCCTTATTAGTCTCTTGGTAATGTCTCTAGGAAGTTATCTACTTTAAAGACGGGTTTTCTCATTGTCTTGGCTTCTGGGCGTGCTTTTGCTGCGAGTAGATCAGACAATAGCAGTTTGATTTGCCTTTGTTGGAGGGAGTGCTCCTGAGATCGGTTGTTTCTGCAAATCCAACTAGATCAGATATCACTGCTCAGTCCGTCTCTTAATGAATCTGATCAATCTGATGAAGTGTTACGCAGGTGGTTCAAGGTAAGGCCTCATGAAGTCAGGGCTCTTGCTACGTATTTGCTTCATTTCTCAGGCTCCTCTCTTCAGGAGGCCATAATGACTGTCTTCTGCCGAGGACAGGCCACCTTAACTGACTTTTAACAGAGATCTTGGTTTCAATTTCTGCTGACTTTTTCTATCTTGGTCCTTTGGTCGTGGCAGAGTTGGTGGCTGTTCTCTTTTCTGTTAGTCAGAAGAATCTAACGATGTCTGTCTACGGGCAGTTTTTATCCTTCAAATTTCTCCTTTGGTGTTATTCTGGCCCTTCTTATCGCCTTGTATTGAGTTGGCGCTAGGATTTGAGGGTTTCCTCTACGGTAAGACGAATTTGCATAGAAAAGTTATTATTACTTAAATGAAATTTAGGCTTTTCTTGTAAAACAATTTGATTATGATGTAATACTTACCATAAAATTACAGAGTCCCTACTTCAATTTTTTTCGAAATTCTTTCCTTCCCTTTCCTCTCTATCCTGCGCTTTCCCCATGGCGTTAGTGATAAAGAAAGACCTATCTCTGGTCGAGCGGAGGTACGACAGGCAGGAAAGAGGGGTTCTCTTCAGGGGTTTATTGGGCTCTCTTTTTCATTTATGTTATATTCAAATGAATTGTAATTGGAGGAAGATATGCATGCTAAAGTTATGGTAAGTATTACATCAAGACAATTGATTTGAAAAGATAAATAACAATTCTCTCATTTGAGTAGAGGGATAACAACAGTGTACTTACATTTGAGGAGAGGATATTATTCAGTTTGTGAAGAGCAGGTATGTACCCTGCTCTTTTGAGACTATCCATCAATAAAGGTTCTTTGTTCACTTGGTAGGAGAAGCCAGCACTGTTCAGAAGTGTCAATATGATATATTTGGCAAGAAAGTTGGCGTCAAACAGATTATCAAGCTTTAGCATGCAGGATATGACTCTAGAAAAATAAAACAGCAAAATCATCCAACTAAGAGTTGACACAATACACAAAGCACAATACCGTCGATCGCACAGAATTAAAATCGTGCTATAAGGAACCAATATTGAATCTTAACCACGGGAACTATGTTTAGTCTTTGTTGAGCAATTTCGGATAGGAGTTTCTAGACAGTTCTCGGGTTTCAGCAGGTGACAAAATATTAACAAGATGAATTCATCAATGTGAGGTTGGTTTTGATACTAATCTATGGGGATTCAGTTTCTGATTCTATAGACAGATGAGTGTCCGACCAAATGGACACGTGTTAACTTTACAAAGTAGCTTAGAGCTATTTATAAAAAGAAATTTACATCTGCCGTTTCCAACCATTCCCAGTACGATATCTTAAATGGTTTAGAGACCTGATATTGTATTGTTTCGCTAGACCAATGGAGTAACTGACCATCATTATACAATTCATTATGTAATAATGATTGCTAGATAAAGTTTTCAAGTTACATTATCAGATGTATGCGGCTTTCAATTTTGAATAATGAAAATCATCAGACCTGGTGCCAGTTTTTTCTGCCTTGACAATGAGGTGATCTAAGAGACGTGTTTTGCCTATTCCAGCAGCTCCAACAAAGACAAAGTGTTGACAGACGGTGTAGCTTCCACTGTTCTCCAACTCTGTCAGACGGCATAACTCTTTATAGAAGACATTGTTTTCATATATCCGTCCTGTAAAATGATAAAAGCGAAGATTTCCCCCTTCTTTTGTCTTGTCGCAAAAAAAAAAAAAACAAAAACAAAAACAAAAACAAAACAAAACAAAAAAACACAATAACCATTACATGATCATTGGTTATTATGTAATGTAAAATTGCAAAGTAAAAAAGCAGTACTAGATATAACATTGAGGTCTCATTTATAAAATTCTACAAATAGAGCTTGTCAAAACTCATCAAATATCTAGCAACTGTTAAAAGAGCGTTTGATTCTACCCAATCTGACTTCATTTGGTTATGATCTTAACGTCATTTCATTACATTAATTTCAAGCTTAGTGTACAAAAGGATTGTAGTACTGTAAAAAAAAAAATCCAATCAATTCATTATCGTCTCTTGTGCTGTATACACGTGCATCATACTCTTCATACTGTGCATTGGTCTAACTAGAGTGATATTATATCAAAAAATCACATATATAATTTTCATACCGGTTGTAACATTAAATGTCTATTGTATGTATACTTACCACTTATGTTTTTAGCACTAATCACTGGAGAATAAAGGTTCTAATAACAAATAACCCAGGAGAAGCAAGAGCTCTTTTTAATCACAGAACAACTTTTGACCAAGGCACATTAAAATAAAAAATACGTAAATTTTATTGTCAAAACAAATTCGAGAAATAGGAAACAACTGCCATTTTCAACGACTACATTGTAATTTCCAATGAATGCACAGGTAAACATTAGTATAGTTTGACTATTTTGCTACATCTACACACATTTCAAATATTTCAGAAAGATGATTTGCTCTACCTCATGGAGAGGAATGGACTAGATTTTAACAACTTTCAAATAAAACATCATCCTATATCATGAGATGCTGATATGACATTTGACAGACATAATGATCACAAGATATTGTGACTGTAATAATCTAACGTTGAATTCATTTGCTATCTGTTGCTGTAAGCTAGAATTACCTAGCAATGGATACTGGAACCTGGTCACACTATTGAGGTGTTCAGAAATAACTGCATCAGATTCTGTGTACTCTCGGATGAGCCCAATATTGCGGAGTCCCTTCATGCGTTTGGTGATGAGTACCTGAAAGCTGTTAGTCGGCAGTCGAGAGAACTGGAAAGTGTTGTCATCACACGTAATCTTGTCTGGATAGTGTGTCATCAGGCGTGCCGCCATGTTTACCTTACTCCCAATCACTGAATACAAAAGTTCATATGAAACTAATTCCTTTTATTGTCTTTCGTATCTACTTAAGTTATTCATTTTTATGTCTACAATCAAGCACAAAAGCACAAAGGTCAGATGGGCATACCTTGATCACCTTGAATTCTGTTCACAATACATTCACTTCAAATCATTGACAAGAACGAATCTACCAGCCAGATGTTACGATCCTGAGTCTTTTTGTTTAATCGGAAGAAGTTGTTTGAATGGTTAACAAAATTTGACCCCTGTAACTTTGGAACGTTAGATATAGTTCAAGGTAATTTCCCCTTCGAGACTTTGTTAGAACAGAACAGAACTTTATATAATAACCCAGATCAATATACAGGAAATATGAGCAACATAGTACATAATGAACCATAAGTAGCGCTGGCCTAAGTAGCATGGAGACTGTTATAACAACCTACAAGCAATACATCGAGATTTTAGGCCTTTTGGTTGATCAGATTTGAAAGTTTTAACATATCTGATCCCTTTGTCCTTGAATATGGATCAAGATAAATTAATTTCCCAAATTTTGTCAAGTTCCACCATAAGAACCTACCAGTCTCTATTGAGTTCATTTCTACCATGCCAGGGGGTGGAGACCAAACATTTGCACAAAGCTGATCCGCCTTCAAGCAAGAATTAGGACAGAATGCTGGCATTTTAAAGAATCTACTCTATTTTCCCTACTGGGCCATGCCTCTTCTACAGGAGCTGAGACCCACCATTTATAAAGAAATGAATCGCCTACACTAAAGGATGCTTCAGACAAAATTGAGTCGAAAACCTGGAATTCCTAAAGAATAAAAATTTACTATAATTCCCCTTTTGAACCCCACCTTTCCTGTCCAATGAGGCCGAGACCCAGTTTACACAAAATCGATTTCAAGGATGCTTTAGACCAAATAAGGTCAGAAAGCTAGCACTTCTACTGAACGAAAATATTTCAATATCAATTGCTTTATTTCTCCTCTTGGGTTTTGCCCTCCCAGATCCGTTAGGCTGAGACTGATCGTTCATACAAAATTAATTCCACTTCAGCAAAGAATGCTTACAGAATTTACTGACCTATTCCCTATTTAACCTTGCCCCACCCACATTTTTGCTGATTCCCCTTTTGGGCCCTGCAACTCAAGCTCCATCATTTATATCTTGAGGATGCTTTTGACCAAATTTGACAGACGAAACCACAGAATGGCATAAGCTAGTTTAATGGCTTTTTTAAGAGCTAATAAAAGCCATCGTACCATCCGAGGTGGGCAATTAGTGGGAGTCGTGTATCTGAGTTTGTGGTGAAGGTTGTATAGATTGAACACTGGAAATAATGGTGTCAATCATCGGATCTAAACTATTCTAGACTCTTAAGCATTATTTGCTATGATTTGCAAACAATTAAAACAAGATTTGTTTGAGTGTACTTGTGGTATAAAATGCACTTTACCTGAGTATTCATGTCTATTTTTGTGTCCAATTACACCGCAAAAAGTTGTTCCTGTAGTCACACCGATTGACACATTTCTGAAATTTATTTAATAAAATACATTATTGTAACAAAAATTCTAAAAAAAACCCAGAGACCCAATAAAAGTAACCTTTGTTATGTACAATGTGTCATTCTTTTTCACTAAGCCCTCGACTTACAGCCACTGAAAGACGATCTTCATTCAAAGAGGTTTGAGAACGTCATGAGTATTTATAAATAGCTGGTATATATAACCAGCATGTGCTTGAACCTGCCATCTTTTTTCTTAAGTAGTGAAAGAGAGAGACTTGTTTGATTTATTAACTGTACAGAAAGCGTTTAAGGGTTTTCATTAATGCTATATACATCCTGTTTTTCCGTTGACAGCTGTAGATTATGCGTGTACAACTGTCAATGTGTTTTGTTGTAGCTATCCTTGTTTGAAGTCCGTAAGGTAAATGCGCAGGTATTACAAAAGATGTATATACCTAAATAATGTTACGGCCACAGCAGACAAGAACGATGTCCTGTCGTTGTTCCAGTCAAGTTCTAGTGGGCTATGACGAAACTTCTGAAATTGACTATAAGCTCTGCTTACGCTGTAAGAAGAGTTCTAAAAAAGGTCAGAGGTCGAGTGACCGTGAAAAACCTTAATAATGGAGTGAATACCATGTAGGTCGGACTGGTTACCAATAATTGGGACAGCGCCGCTGCTGGTAACATCACTAGTGCACAGGGAATCAAGGCTTAGTGCACGGTACCGGTGGATTTGTCAATCTGTTCAGCAGAACAAGCCATAAATATGTTTATTATAGACATATTTGATTACACCAGCTAGCAAATGGGAAACAGTGCAACTAAAATTGTTAAGTATTTTAAACCAGACCGGAACCTTGGGGCTTTCTGCTAGGGTGGTGATGAAATTTGGGACATTGCTCAAAATACAGGTGAGGAGATATTAATCCCTTATAATTCTGAATCCCTGGCCATAACTATAGATAAGTAGTGCTGTAGGAAAGTGAAGGTCATAAAGAATTTTTGTTTTGATCCTAATGAGATCAGCAGTTCAGCTGAGGAAAGGCAGCTGATAGATAATGAAATATGCGATATGTTTTATAAGATTTTAAAAATGAATCAAAATTATGGTATTTCAGCTGAAGAATAACCAAACTACGGTAGACTAATAAGCATCCTTAGAGTACAACGTCAATTTTAAAAAAAAAATCAGTTTTGATTCCAACTAAATAACTGATAACTGACAGTTCATGGTATTTCTTTTAGGAGAAAAAATACAGAAAATACTACAACGGTGTAATAAGTGTACAATCAAGTCTGAAGTTGTCTTTCGTAACTTTGCGTCACTTATTGCCTCTAACGTAGAATTACTGGACCTTTAAATCACAGACCTCTAGAGAGGGACAAGATAGAAGGGCTTCGCATAAGTGACGACAATTCTGAGCAAAGTGTCAAAGAAATCCATTGGTGGAAACAAACCATAAATGTGAAAAATGGTAAAATAATCAGGGAACCTCTTCCTGTAGTGTTGGTAGAAAATGATGCATCCGGAAAACGGGAAGCTATATGTAGGTATATGTACTAGTTCAGTGGTTAATATGCATATTAATCATCCAGAGTGGATGGTTATCTTTCTTGGAATAAAAGCATTTTTCTTAAGCAATTCTGATCTAAGCTTAGGCATTCAGTCTGAGAGTTCACCAGTGGTAACATACATTAAATTATGATATAGATGGTATGCACTCAGGTCACCTGGACAGGTTATTTAGACAGATTTGGGAATGGTGTCTAGACAAGTCCATTGTCCTTACTGCACAATACATCATTCCCGGAGATTTAAATATAAACGCAGATGGATGATATAATGCTGTACATATTTCCAACAATTAGTTTATCGGACAGAATTGTGTCAGTGAACAAGTGCAATTATACGTTGATCAGGCATACCGGTCTTGCGCTTTTGTTGAATCAGGAATGCACTGAAAGATCATGGACTTTCAGCACATGCCCTCTCAGTCATTCAAGCAGTATGCACACGACCGGAGAAAATGGATTATTTGGTGTTCTACACGGAACACTAGTCCATCTCTCTCAATTGAAATTCAGGTAACAGAATACACAGATGTTATTTTAAGTCATCTGACGCGATGGGTCACGTTGACATATTGCCATCGAGCATCGTATGTCGTTATGCGCTGTCCGTAAACCTTTCCTTTAAGATACTATAATTGTTTAATGCCTTGGCTGATTTCAACCAAATTTGGTCTGAAACATCATTGGGGTTGAGGAATCATTTCTTAGATTAAAAGAGTTTATTCGATCCTTAGGGGCTTCAGGAGAGGACCCCAAAAGGACAAGTTAAACAATATTTTGCTCCAAAACGATGTTCCTTCATAATGCCCGGGTAGATTTCAATAAAATTTGGCCTGAAACATTATTAGGGAGAGACATTGATATCAAATATGCATGAAATTATCCTGCGATTGTCTTTTCCGCTCAAACATAACTCATCTAGAACTACTACTCCAGTTTCATTCACACCACTGGAAGAAATATTTGGAGTTGAATAAAGAGACATGTTATTTTTTTCAGCCTGATGAAAAAATTTAATTTATCACATTTGTCAGACCACCGTCAACGAGTTCTGTGGTTTGCCCATTTATTTGTCGATTGTCAGATGACCATTAAATGTCATAGCCCACATGTAAACGATGGAGCATCTTATTTTGTTATTAACACTCATAAATCTGTGCTAACAAGACGTGGCCTGTATTGGGGGTTAAATGGTCTATGGGCCCAATGCATATTATCAGACTGATGAAGACTTATTTTAACTCTTAACCTCCTAAACTGAGAAATTCATGTACATGGGCCGTTTCTTCCAAAGTGCTTAATTACTTAAGAATTGAAATAAAATGTAACATAGGTTACAGCTATATATTGAACATTGATATATATTATAAGGAATATCAAAATATCGCAGACGTTTCTGTGGTTTGTTGATCAATGCTATGTGATATCTTCGTAAGTCGAGGGCTTAATGAAAACGAATGGCCCCCTCTTCACTGTATCTTCAAAGTTAAGAAGGGGGCACTCTTAGAACTCTTCCCATCCCACCTGTGATCCATTTTTGTTGTTGTGACAAGTCAAAGAAATTATCTGTTTAACAAATGTAACTTAACTATATTGTATGTACATACAATTACAAATTGTTGTTGCTGAAAACAATTTACGTTTGAGAAACGCAACAATTTTAATAATTTTCAGTAGTAGAATCTGTAAAAACAATACAACCGCCCATACTCACACAATCGAGCTTTTTATATCAGGGTATATAATTGTACATAACATTAAACTGTCAACCTTTCAATTTCCTTCTGTTCTCAATGAAAAAAGCACGATGTACTTGAAGTGTTATTTTGCATTATAAACTGTTTAACACAGTAAACTTTACCCCTATTAAGTACAGAAATCATGTGTCAGTTTAGTTTTTTTTCACGTATGATTTGGATTCACATTCTACCTTGGATCAGTAAAACTACATGGCAAGAGATATAGTTTCAGAGCACACTTTCCTTAATCCTTTCCAATGTAATGATTGCATCTGCTTGATAAATGAACAACACTAATCGTATATAACTTACTTCACACCTTCAATTTTGACCAAGGTTTTCCTCATTTTGTAGGAACACATCAGAGCATGAGCACAGTCTCTCTCATGTTTGTAACCAGGAAGTCCGAAGATTACCAGAAATGTACAACCCTATAATCGTAAATCAATTAAATAAGCGCGTCTTAACTCAATTAAAATGAATTGAAATTTCTTTACAAACTTTTTCTTATTTTTCTCATTACATATGTGACATAAACTATACTAAAAAAAAAAAAAAAGAAACGCACAAAGTTCTCCCCTACACTACACTGTACAGTATTAACAAAAGAATGGAACAACATTCCCTTAAGGCGAATTAATGTTCTCATGAATGAATTCAATGCATAAGAGAATTCGTGCAAGAGGTGCCCACACCAGGTACTGAAGTGTCAATTTGTTCTAGAGTATTGTAAAGAGTAGGCTTGTCCTTTCACATTGATATAAAATTTTGTACAAATTTTCCATAATGTCATAGGGTAGTGATTGAATAATTTAATTGTGCGTTTTTTTGTTTGTTGAGTATATACTCAGTAAAAAGCCATTCCCTATGCAGTTTGTATTTTCGTGACGCTAATGGAAGTTCCACTGTGGTTTTCGTATCACAAATACATCGACTTTTAATAAAATGAGATAATATCACAATCATGATCAAATAAAAGTGCACAAGGTATCAAAGCATATACCTCATTGAAATCGGTTAACATTAGAAAAATAAAGGGTTTAATTTGTTCCAAACAGAAGATCCATTACAATTGCCTGATAATCGTTTAGGAAACTTAAATTACACCAGTTCTCTTACCTCTTTCATAAAACACCTACAAATTGTATATTCAAGTTACTAGATTGAAACTGATTTTTGGGTTAAAATGATCTCCAAACAATCAGAAGTGATCTGGAGGCCTTTTGAAAACATTAGATCCAAAAACTAAATTTGAAATTTGAATACAGATAAAACGTAAAAAAATACCTTGTGATTCTAGCATTATCACTATTTGAGAAGGTTATGAAGTCAAGTCCCTTGATTCACCAACGAGTATTTGAAACCAACGTGGGTAAAAATCACAGCACAGTTTTTGGTTCTTGAGAAGAAGTCATTTGAAGATTTAACAAATTTGACCCCTATGACCTTGAAAGTAGGTCAAGGTAATTCATATCAAGAAATATTGTAGCCCACCATCTTATGTTGAGCTTTCGTTTGTGTTATTGAGAAGATTTCAACACATTTAACCCACGTGACCTTGAAATGTTGACAAGGTAATATCAGCATCCTGGGACAATATTTTTTATTGTACCCAGGGCCATTTTGTTATTGAGAAGATATTGTTTGAATGAAAAACGACGCACGGCGATGGACTATCACGATGACAAAAAATACAGGTCTATAACTTCCTCACCTTATCAAATAGAAAAGCCTTGTTCAAACACCCTGCAACATATGAAAATAAAGAATATTCTTATTTTTAAAAAAACCTCTTTTGCACATGTAATGCACATGAAAAATGTTCATTGAAGTATCATCCAATGTTGATAATTCTAACCTATTCTAACTATAGTACATAACAGCCTGCAAGGCATTTATTTTAGATATGATGCCCCATTGTGTTTACGACAGAATACTAAACAAGCCATATTTATCCACAAACAAGACGCCAATGGGCCATAATGGTCATCTAGCTTTGAAGATCTATATATGATGTAAAAGCAACAGTAGTCGTAGGAACAAATATTAAAATGTGAAAACAGTTCAAATTCTGAATATCATAACAGTAAAGGTAAACAAGAGGCCCAACTGAATGAATCGCTTACGTGTTCTTACGCTTACACAGACGATTTAAGTGTCAATTTCTGCAAACCTCAGATACCATTTATCAAGCACGCTTCTTCACAAATACCACGACCAAGGAACTATTCATTAATGATAACCTTGGAAGTGGATAAAAGGTAATTTAATTTGAAAACAACAGGTACGTCTTCATGAAATAATGCTATAGAACCCAATATCAATAGCCTTTAGAATATCGAGACAAAGTCGGTTGAAGAAGATGTCTTATTTCAAACTTTGTAGCCTTACATCCCAGCACATAACAAATCTAATATCAGCATCATTGCCCATTTTAGTTATTGAGAAGTAATTATTTGAAGATGTTAACAAATTTGACCACAATTGAAAAGAACTTTAGTGAGAAGCTATTTAAAATTTTAACTTGTACATATTTGATCTCTGTGACCTCTAAAGAGTATCAAGGTCATTCACTTGGTATCCATTCATCTCAGCATGCAAAAGACTTTTTAATTTTTGGAAAATAAGTTTGAATGGAAAGTTTTCACGTAGGGCACGACGACAGACAAACCATAATGGTTATAGATCATCCTGACCGTTTGGATAAGATGACCCAATAAGCCCCTTCTCCTAGTTTGAAAATTAAGTATTAAAGTTTGAGAAAGACTTATTTGTGAACTACTTTCAGCTTAAAATATAAAAACTTGCTGATTCTGCAAACATGAAAGGGGCATTTTTTGGGCAGGAATTTACTTGCAAATAAGTATCGTAGTTTGTTTAAAAAACAATATTTTACCATGCATGATGCTGGACTGTAAATACACTGTGTCAAACACTTGTTGTAGCAGAATAGTGGCATCAAAGTCCTCATTCAGAACTAAGTTCATGAAGGCAATTGACACTTTCCTCATCTCAGACAGGTATTCCAATGGCTGGTTGTCATCTATCTGCAAGTGTATTTTTTTCAGGTCATTATTCATATAGATCCATTGAACTACCCACAAACTGCACCTGAACCATTTAAAATTTATATTGGTCTATGTAAATTGGAGATTTCCTGTTCTTTTCTACTATTCTTCTTAATTACTGAACAAGAGAAACCTGTTTAAATGAATTAAAATATTCATCTAGTCAATTTATTTGGCGCATTCTTTCCTTTTTTCGATGTGGTACCCATTAGGTTGACCAAAGTTGTTGATATAACAGACAACGAGAGGCACTTTATCTAGACCGCCAGTCAGACATCTAATGATCTTTGCAAATGAATTATGCACAAATAATCCTTTCTTTTACTGATGTATTTGAAAATCATACTGATAATTCATGTTTCCTTCATGTTTATCTGTCATGGCTTAATTTATTCGATTAACGGCAAGGTTCAGAATATACACACGTACTTGCCGCTGTTCCAACATTATCTGATGTATGAAAATTACGAAATTTATTCAATTATGGGGCTGGTTTCGGCCCTAAGCATCACTGACGAGTCCTAGAAGGATGAATAAGCTGTATAATGCAATTAATACTGTATCTACCTCTAAATCATGTAAAGGTGCTATTCACTTGTGTGTCTTAGTAGATATGAATATAAAACAATGAATAAATAAATGAAACAATGAAAATAAGGGTTTCCTTGTGATAAAATCAAGTTGTTTGGAGTGTCTGACACACCTGACCTTAGTAACATTGGACGTTAAATCAATGTACTTCATTTGAACTTTGTATTTTCTAAAATAATGATTTTTTTTTAAACAAGTGGGATATTAATACACATATATATTTATATCAATCATTTGAAATGCTGTTTTACCTTTCTTAATACAGGTGACAATACATAGAGCCGAAGGGACTGGTCCAACTTTAACTGTGCTACTTGTTTAGCCACATTCCGTACTGAAAAAAAGTATGTAATCATTATTTACCTTACAGGAAACCTTTAGGGCAGGCAGCATCAGTATCACAGCAGAGCAAAAAACTGTACATGTCTACAAATGACTCATGCAATTCCAAGGTTCTCGAAAGAAAACATTCATACAAGTTTTTTGACGTCACAATTCCATCCTAATTTATATTTAGCTATCGATACAGCCCAAAACTACTTGATTTATTCAGATCAAAGTGGTCATAAAAACCGAATTTAGAAGTATAAAATCTGATTCCGAGGACAAGCCTCTATGCAGTCTCATTTGATCATTTATGTATCTGAATACATTTTATGAAGGAGGTACATTTTATGCATTACACCGAGAATAAAATGGGGTACCTGCAGGTACTCTAACAAAATAAAAGTTTACTTTGCCACCTAATTCAGCATTTGTAAGTGTATTACTTGCTTGCAAATAAAACACATGTTCATGTACCTATTTAAGAATGGCGACTCAATAATTTTAATTAAATCTTAAAATACAAAAGTGAATCTCAATAGTGCATGTGTATTTTTTCCATCCTTAACATGAATTTAACTTATTCGAGGTTTTGAAGGTATCTCAAATTATTTGATATCTGTAAGCTTTTTTTGTATTTATTTACCATATTAACCAACAATGCAGACTGAGACTGAATTGACAAAGTTCAGTTTTCTAGTTACAGCAAATAATGCCTAATAAAACTCAATATGACATACAAAACTGTGTCATGTTAAAACAATGTGTAACGTCACTCGTGTCGTCAGTAGCTACTCAAAGCGGGATACCCACGAAAAACAAAATCACACTTCAGTACTTGGAGTGAGGACCTCTTACACGAATCCTTGCACGGAATCTCATATGCATTGCAATCATGTGAATATTAACTCGCTTTAAGGGAATGTTGTTCCATTCTTGTGTTCATGCTGCGATCAAATGGCTGAGAGGCTGAACGTTGCGTTCAATCATTGTCTTGCTGGAAAATTAGGTTATGACGTCTGAGAAGTGGAAGGATATGTGGTTGGAGGAAGGGGTTCTTTTCGTCAAGGGAGATGCCTCCCCAAACCATTACAGAAGCCCCAATGTACTGCACGCAAGCGGTTTCTGGCATTTAGAGCACTATGGGTTTGCCATGACTACCTAAGCAATGCGACGAAGTCTCCACAATAGCCTTGAATCTGTTACGCAAATACGACAATCGAATCGCCTTGTCTTGTCGTGCGTCCGTTACACGCGGGCGACCGCTACTGGAACGATCGTAAACTTACCCATTAACATGAAAACGTGTATAGAGACCATCCATCAACATCGCAATCGCTCTACCCCTCTGAATTTGCATTAAATGTGGCATGACATTGTCACGCTTGGTTGAATTTAGGGTAGATTGTCGAGAAAGGAGATCATTCTTGATGCAATACCTGACCAAATATTCCATTATTTTCTTATAGCTAGCGTGCATAGGGGAGGGGCTACGTTTTTTGTAGAGTATATTTTTTTTGCTTTGGACTTTGGGCATTGGAATCAATCGGTTTACTCAATATTGCTACAATGGCTTCATGTTATTTCTTTTTGTATTAGAAAATCCTTTAAATTCTTAGTTGTCTTACATTTTGCAAGTCTTCCCATGGCTAAGCCTTTGTTGGCCTGAGGTGATGACTGCTGAGTGGTGAGTGGATTTGATATAGACTGATGCGTCTTTGAGTTATTAATGTTTGTAGGTACCACGTTTAATTGGTTTGGTAAACTTGAGTTATCACCAAGGGATGGTGTCACTAAGTTTATGGTTTCTTTTGAAGTAACAGAGTTCAAAGATGGAAAGGTTGCCGGTGAAGTGATTGTGGGTTCAACAGTCAATAAATATGGACTGGCACTAGTGACAGCAACATCAGATGTAGACGCTCCATCGGTCATGGCTGGGCGTTTCACCTTACTCTGTAAACGATTTGCCATAATCTTTATATTGGCTGATGATCCAACTGAAAGTTTCCGACCTGTAAAAGAGGTTTTAGGAAAAAGTTAAGAATATTTTGGTACATCTCGGTCTAATTTTAGATAAAGAGTTGGTGATTAAAAATCAGAAAGTATATTTTAGAGACATGCCCCGATAATCCTTTCGGCGAATGCTTTAATAGAATAGGATCTTGATGTACCAACAACCACTTTTCTATGAGATAATTGAAAGAGTTTCTGTTGCTTTAAATCATCATAAAGCAAATTATCATATACATGTTTTCATTTTTAATTTTAAACTTCGATAGAAATAATAGTTTTATAACAGGCAATTTGTAACTCTAGTTATTTTTTACATAACAAACACGGTCATTAGGATGGATTTGTAACATACAATTGTTAAGATCCCTGTGAATGAATTATATTTATCATTTTTATGGGCCATAACAAAAATGTAAGCAGTATAAGTTAAATGTAAAGACTGATAAATTGAACGACAAATGTTTATTGATTTGTTAATAATTAATCTAATAAAGACTGATTTTAATCAAAACCTTAGATAAAGATATTGGTCTAACGCTATCTTTTTCTCTATGGTTGTGCAATGTAATATATTTTGAGAATAAGTTTGAAGTTATATGAGTATGGTAAATGAATAAAGGAAAAGCAGTTGATTCGCCATAAAGTGAAAAGGTTGTTATGTAATGCGAGAGTTTATACGTGAGTATTGGGGAAGGAAGGTAGGATTATTTGAAGTCCATGTAAGGTGATACAAAGATAAGTGTAGGAATTGAATATGCACACTAAAGTTATGATATTTATTACTGAAATAAAAATTGCAGTTAACTTAGCCTTTCAGCCTTATGCAAATATATATCAATTCATTGTACTCAAATTGATGTATAATTTTCATCAAAATATTCAGGATATAGAGGTTTCCTAGCGAGTGACGGTTGTTTATCATGTTTATCAAACTCTCGTTAGTTAATTTTCAATTTAGATAAGATATTCTCTAAAGCTTGTATTTATTTTTAAATTCGAAATTTAAGTAACTTGAGTCATGTGTTGGGGAACGACAAAACAAGGTAGAGACCAACACGTCAAAGATTTGACTGCTCAATGTTAAACTAATCACTGCAACATCAGTTATCAGTTGCTCCCTGGAAGTAGTAGGTATGTAGGTAAGTAGGATATTGTTGATGGTGATATCAAAAATTCTGTTATCAGCTGATGTTTTTTCACTGACAGATGCTTCAAATTGTATCACGGAGAATATCAATTGAGTAAACAAAGTTTTCCATGAGGAAGTAACTCATATGTATTTTACAATTGTGAAACTCGCCTGTTAACTAGGCATTTTTCCCTGAGGAAATTTTAAGATATCAAAAATGTTAATTTCTATTACACAAAATCACAGAGAAATTTGTTAATTGCTTTTTAATTATTTACCCTTAAACTTTGTAAGATAGTTTGTAGGTGCAGCAACAGATTCAGTGTCATCTCTCTCGTCATCAGGAGTAATTTCTATGGTTGGAGCCAATAGGTTAAAATCGTCCTTCATGGATAATACCTGTGCCATAAACATTATTTTCATATTTAATGAAAATGTTAAGTAAGGACTATACACGAAATTTTTTGCTACACAAGTTGGTACAAGTATGCTCCCCTCACGATCATCTCAAACAAGCTTCAAGCTTCCCACTGATGGAGTGTGAAAAATTTATACAAGGGATACTACATATAATGCCACAGGTGTCCAACCAACAACGATAGACGGAACATGAAGATCATCCACAGATGACTGTACGAGAATTGTCGCCTCAGGGCTAACTGATACCATCTGAATATCGGCTGCTGGTTGCCTTTACAGGAACAAGGAAAACAAGAAACAAAAGGTCTAAAAGGCCTGTTTCCCTCATCTGCTTTTGTTTGGCCGAAATTGCTTCATCCGAACGAAAGGAAAAGGAATTCTAAATAAACAAAAATAAGGTCTATAAAAAATTGAGTCCCCTTCAACTAAATTTAGGCAAAATGCAGTCCTTACTACATGAATAATATGATTACAAAGAATTTGCTCTAATCTCACGATAAAGCCATGTCCCTTCTGCACCTGGAGGGCCGAAACCCAATGTAAATACAAAAGTTCAGTAAATGATACCAGGCTAAATTTGGACATAATACAAGTGTTCCTACAGAGGAATTTGCTATTTTCCCCCATTGTACCTAACCTTTTCCCAAAGAGAGTTGAGATCTAACATTTATACAAAAATGATTTCTCTTCACCCGAGGATACTTCAGACCAAATTTAGGCCCAAACTAATCATTCCTACAGGAGAAGTAGGGGTCTACACTCATCATTTATGAAATATTTGTTCCTTCCACCAAGAATTCTTCTTACCGAATTTGGTCAAATTCTGCATAGTAGGAAGTTTTAGGGGAAAAGTTGCCTAACTTTGGATGGTTTGTAATGTATTACAAGTTTTGTGATCCTTGGTGGACCAGGTGGGCTTTAGATTGGCCATTTCAAAACTCTGAGACATCTGTGATAATCATCTTAATGTTCTTTTTATTGTACCTTGCATCAATGCCTTTTATTCCCTAATGTTTATTTGCATGTACATAAGATATGTACCATATATGAGATTAGCCATTTCAGTATTGTAATGCATCCGTGACCTTTAAATAGCTTCAAAAATTTAGAGTTAGATACATCAGAGTCAAGCAATGAATAAAACTCTACATACTTATTTGTCCGTCGGAGACTTGCATTGATGCTATTTTGAATTCTATGGAAAGGATGAGAAAGATCATATGTTAAAATGGCAAAATTTAGATAGAGCAGTGCACTAATAAAAAAATTTCATATGTTAAGTGTTGCTATACTATGTTATTCCAATGCACTTCATACAAATGTAAACAAATTTTCAAATCTTTTACAGGTTTTCAAAAAGTTGACTTCTGTGACCTGAAATACTGTAAACGAACTTATTTTCGCAGTGTCTTAATGTTGCTTTTCCAATGTGTAAGTATGTGGGACGGGCCACTTTATAAAGGACACGTCTCGGTGAAAAAGCACCTGTATTGGCAACACCGGTGATTGTAGGTGCAGAATTCAAGAGTTTACCCATTGCATATCTGTCGGTGTGAACAGTGTCGGGAGTGAACAAAAAGCGCGCCACTTCATCATTTGCATTCACAACTTTATAGTATTAATATTAACAGTAGTATACAAAAAGTTACAATTAAAAAAGTTCACGTGAAAACGTTTTATTGGATTCAGTGTACTTTAAGACATCCGATTGGCATTTAATGTGCGCACATTTAATCAATTTTAACCAATTTCCATAACTAATAGCTTCTAATACTCAATACTTAACAGTGACAGTGATAACCCAGATCCTAGGTGAATGTTGTTTTTCTCTCACAATATTTCAGGCTTCATCGTTGGAACGTATAAGTCAAATACCATGCTTCTGAGCCTTTTGGTGAGTCAGAAGTTTTTTTTTATGGTTTAAACGATCTTGAACTCTCTGACCTTGAACATGGACCAAGGTCATTCCTTTCGCAAACTTTGTCGGGCTTTATCCTAGGCACCTATCAGCTATCTATCATACTATTGTGACTGACGGCAAGTCAGAAAAGCTGGTTTAAGGTTCAAACAAATTCGACCTCCGTTACCATGAATTAGGGTCAACGTTAATTCTTTAAGCAAAATTTGTAAAGCTACATCCTCGCAATGTATCAGCGAAATACCATGTCGTTTGGCCCATTGGTTATTTAAAAGAAATCGTTTAAATGGAAAAGTTGACATTGGAAGGACAAAAATCGGACAGAAAAAGATTACTATGTGGGATAAGTTACATGATGGGTCTTCCGAGGTTTTCCCCAACACAAAATCATAGACAGACAGATGAATGAACGGAAAGAAATATGGTAGTGATTCCATTACACTTTAAAGTCACAAACACCAGTACTGGAGGTATATATTATTTGTATCAATTGCAATGTCTTACCCTCACGTGCTCGCCATCTTCCAGTACTTCAAACGTGAACAGAGGTTTCCTGCAGATTTCCCATACATATGGGGAAAGAACAATGTATCCGGATTTACAGAAGCTCTCCGCAGTGTTGACATCAGTCACTGGTTGCCCCCTTTCTACGTACATTCGGAATGTGTCATTGCCAAGAAAGGTGACCAGTGTATTTCCCACAGATATACCTAAATGAAATTATTAAACAAAATGTCCATACGTCTTGCTTCTCTTCAATGAATGGTCACAATGATAGAAAATTTGTGTAAAAATAAATGCCTCGTCGCATGTGAATTATATCTTTTTAAAGGAGTAAAGTAAAAATTTAAAGATTGATTTCTATTTTCCATACTAGGCCTAACCCCTCTGCCCTTAGGCTGAATATTCGATTTTTAGGAGGTTCGAGGTGAAAGAGTTTGACCTTAATATGATCAACAATGAAATGGCAAAAATGAATTTTCCATTACATTGAGTTCTATTCAAATGCTTATTTTTTCCATCATCAATCTACAACTAAAATCTTGATAATTTCTATGTCAGTGTCTTTGTACAGGCACTAATATGGTTATTGTATTGTCACCATTAGAAAATACATAAATTAGTTTTTCCAATATACTGTAAAAGGAAGAACAATACATAACCTAAAAACAATATTTTGCATATGTAATTGGGTCTAAGTGACAGACACTAGTGTTAGATGAAGCTATGCCTGGGTACAAAATTATGTTAGTAGGAGTGATGGATATGAGCTTATATTCGCACTAATACATGTAAAACACAAGTAGTTTATGTCTTCAGTGTATTTGCGTATTTGCTTCAAAATGTATAGCTGCATTTGAGATGATAAAATTGACTAGATAAAGACGAAATTTGTATTTTCACTAGGCCGCATATTTGATCCCAAATGTTATTTTTTCCGTTTTTTCCGTCAATAAACTAATTTTAGCTGTGGCGTTTAATTCAATTTATTCATACCTTGCAACTATTACTGGTCAAAACACGACCAGTAGTATCAAGTGATTATGAAAGCATCCGGCGAGTTAGGTAAAACGATTATGACTTGAAAAAAGAGGAATGATGTATGTCAACTCAATGCTCAATGCATATCCAAGCTTACAAAATGGGGGTTAGTGGGTAGAGGGTAGAATTTCAATAAAAGTGCTATAGTAGTTTTCCAGAAATAGTTGCAAATGCGAAAAGATTTATAGACAGTGAAGAAAAGAGATCTGTTAACAGTTCATTTGTATTTGTTCATTTGTATTTTGCAGAATTTCATTCAAATGATTCAGTGGTTTTTCAGAAATAGTCGCAAATGTAAACAAGAGGGTCATGACCCATAATGGTAATTTGACAATCGATGAAAGAACAGACAGACAACAGAATTTGCTGATGTTATTCTAACTAATCTGATGAATCTAGGGATCACTTCAGGCACGTTTGATATCATTGTCACCTCCTTAATTTTTTTTCCGGTCAAATTTTGTTGAAATTGAGAAAGAGTATTGTTTTGAAGCAAAATATTGCTTAACTTCCCCAGCCCTAATTCCCTAGGAGTCAAATCAACTTTGTGAAATTAAGAATTAATTGTCCATCTATAATGATGTGTGGTTGAAATCCATCTAGCATTGTTAAGGAAAAGTAGCGCTTTGAATCAAAATATTGACTAACTTCTTTTGGCGCCCCGGCCCCAGGTCTCTAAGTCGTGAATACTTTTTCTGAATGAAAGAAATGCTAACCCACCTGCATTTATATTCCAAACCAAATTTGAATGAAATATATCCAGGCATTAAGGAGTGGCGTTTTGAAGCTAGATATTGTCAAACTGTCCTATTTGAGGCCTGGACCGCAAGTCCTTAGGGATCAAATCAACTTTCTGAATTTAACAAATGATTCCCCATCCACGATGATTTTTCAGACCAATTTTGGTTAAATATCATTCAAGCATTCAAGCGAAAAATGAAAGTCATTGAGGGCTTTGGACCAATCAGAAAAATAAGAACACTTTGCTGCATTAGGGTCATTTTCAACAAGTTTAAAGCTAAAGTCAACTGGTAGAACTTGACAATATCAAAATATGTTATGTCCAGCTAGAAAACCGTGGTTTTGCATTCATGTTAAAACCTGTTGCTCTTTGGTTTCTGGCTGACCCAAAATAAAACAACACTTGGTAAGGACCACTAGTAATAACTATCTAAACTGAATTCTTCTGTCAGTACTAAGTATGTTTCAAGTAGGGTGGATCAGGACAACCATGATGTGGCAACCATATGTTTCAAATGCCCCATAGTGGCTGTTATGCTGAACATTTGACACTTGCTGAGGACCATTTCAAGACTCCATCCGAACTTGATAAGAAACTTCTTATTGCCATTTTCATCAAAAATGCAAAAAAAAAAAAAAAAAAAAAAATGTAATAAAAATATGAACAAACCTAGTTTTACAGTAAGGATAACTCCAATATCAGTTTTCCATTCTCCACAATTCTTCTGAATGTTCAGGCAGCATCTGATGACCTTTTCTACTACATTTAATAAATCCTTGGGTGTATTGACTCTCCAGAGTGACAAAATAGCATCACCTTAAACGATAACAAACAAGCACTATCAAAGTATGCATGTCAAACAAGAGGTTCATGTAACCTGCATCACTTATCTCGACAGTTCACATCGAAGCAATTTTGTTATAGCTATATGTATGGCCATATATAATGTTGGTTTTATTTTTTTGTATTTTGTTCTAAACAGATTATGCTCCCTGTGACTTGAATAAGTGTTAAAGAAATTTCTTTTCGCAATTTTGTCCTGCTTCTTCTATGCCAATTGTATCAAGATTCCAGTTCTATGAGTTTTCACAAATGTTGTCATGTTTTTTCCTTAAACATTTAAGCTGTATCATGGTTCATAATTCCAGGAATTTTTTATTAATTGCAGACATTAAAACGTGACATGCCTGCTTTCACATCCTATGAGGTGTTTTAACAAATTTCACGGTTGTGACCGTTTGTAGAGGTCACTGTCATTTCCTTTTTATATTTGATATTTTGAGATATTGTTATGCAATATAAAGTGCATCTAAGAGGCTTGAGACCGTAAGTTCATTTTATTGGCAACCTCAAAACCCTCGAAGTTGACGCTAAAACTGATAAAAAAGTACTTCGTTTTCATGTTATGTACTCGTTTTTTCTCTCTTTCTTAAAATAAAAATACCAATCTAATAATCCAATATCCTGAATGATTTCAGCAGACTGTACTGAAAGACTTCTTTATTAGTTTCTGCATCTGATATTTAATTGTATGCAATCGATTTATACGGGAGATCACTCTACTTTACTAACTGTACTGTAGAAGCTCAACAAAGTCCATATGAGCCAAAGCACTGAAGTATTTCTCTAAACGTGATGTGACTGTAAAGATGTAGGAACGTTCACTTGTGATAGACATTTCACTTGCACTTCAAATATCGCGATATTGTGAACCGCGCACATTTCAATCTGACATGTATGGACTGGATTTTTGTTCCAGTTGATTAAACTTTCCAGATACATACGCCTGTGCTCTTGTCACGATGTCGTGATCATTGGGGCTAATTAGTATCATTTTGAATCAGCTTTCAGTTGCAGCAAACTCAAGTTGTTATAGCATTCCTGCAGGAATCATTTTAGACCAGGACAAGCCATTCATGGATTCATAGAGACTGTTGACCAGCTGTATTATTCACAACTGTACACATACTTGCGAACTTTTAACAAGAGGCCCATGGGCCTTAACGGTCATCTGACAAAAAGCAAGCCAAACCTAGAAAGTGGGTTGAGGTCATTCATTTGAACAAACTTGGTAGCCTCTCCTCCAAGCATCTTACAGGCCCAATATCAGCACTCATGGACTTTTGCTTGTTGAGAAGAAGTCGTTTGTATATTTTAACATATTTGACCCCTGTGACCTTGAAAGTGGGTTGAGGTCATTCATTTGAATAAACTTGGTAGCCTTTCCTCCCAGCATGCTACAGACCCAATATCGGCACTCATAGACTTTTGCTTATTGAGATGAAGTCCTTTGTATATTTTAACATATTTGACCCCTGTGACCTTGAAAGTGGGCCAAGGTCATTCATTTGAACAAACTTTGTAGGGCTCCATGCCAGCATGCTATGGGCCAAGTATTAGCCCCCTAGGCCTTCTAGTATTTGAGAAGAAGTTATTTAAAGATTTTGACATATTTCACCCCTGCGACCTTGAAAGTTGCTCAAGGTCATTCATTTAAATAAACTTGGTAACCTTTCCTCCCAGCATGCTACAGACCCAATATCGGCACTCATAGACTTTTGCTTATTGAGATGAAGTCCTTTGTATATTTTAACATATTTGACCCCTGTGACCTTGAAAGTGGGCCAAGGTCATTCATTTGAACAAACTTTGTAGGGCTCCATGCCAGCATGCTATGGGCCAAGTATTAGCCCCCTAGGCCTTCTAGTATTTGAGAAGTTATTTAAAGATTTTGACATATTTGACCCCTGTGACCTTGAAAGTTGTTCAAGGTCATTCATTTAAACAAACTTGATAGCCCTTCATCCCAGCATGCTACAGACCCAATATCGAGCACTCATAGACTTTTGCTTATTGAGATGAAGTCCTTTGTATATTTTAACATATTTGACCCCTGTGACCTTTAAAGTGGGTCAAGGTCATTCATTTGAACAAACTTGGTAGTCCTTCATCCCAGCATGTCACAGGCCCAATATCTACACTCTGAGCCTTTTGGTTAATGAGAAGAAGTTGTTTAAAGATTTTAACATATTTGACCCCTGTGACCTTGAAAGTGGGTTGAGGTCATTCATTTGAATAAACTTGGTAGCCTTTCCTCCCAGCATGCTACAGACCCAATATCGGCACTCATAGACTTTTGCTTATTGAGATGAAGTCCTTTGTATATTTTAACATATTTGACCCCTGTGACCTTGAAAGTGGGCCAAGGTCATTCATTTGAACAAACTTTGTAGGGCTCCATGCCAGCATGCTATGGGCCAAGTATTAGCCCCCTAGGCCTTCTAGTATTTGAGAAGAAGTTATTTAAAGATTTTGACATATTTCACCCCTGCGACCTTGAAAGTTGCTCAAGGTCATTCATTTAAATAAACTTGGTAACCTTTCCTCCCAGCATGCTACAGACCCAATATCGGCACTCATAGACTTTTGCTTATTGAGATGAAGTCCTTTGTATATTTTAACATATTTGACCCCTGTGACCTTGAAAGTGGGCCAAGGTCATTCATTTGAACAAACTTTGTAGGGCTCCATGCCAGCATGCTATGGGCCAAGTATTAGCCCCCTAGGCCTTCTAGTATTTGAGAAGTTATTTAAAGATTTTGACATATTTGACCCCTGTGACCTTGAAAGTTGTTCAAGGTCATTCATTTAAACAAACTTGATAGCCCTTCATCCCAGCATGCTACAGACCCAATATCGGCACTCATAGACTTTTGCTTATTGAGATGAAGTCCTTTGTATATTTTAACATATTTGAACCTTGAAAGTGGGCCAAGGTCATTCATTTGAACAAACTTTGTATCCGTGCCAGCATGCTATGGGCCAAGTATTAGCCCCCTAGGCCTTCTAGTATTTGAGAAGTTATTTAAAGATTTTGACATATTTGACCCCTGTGACCTTGAAAGTTGTTCAAGGTCATTCATTTAAACAAACTTGATAGCCCTTCATCCCAGCATGCCACAGGCACAATATCAGCAATCTGAGCCTTTTGGTTATGGAGAAGAAGTTGTTTAAAGATTTTAACATATTTGACCCCTGTGACCTTTAAAGTGGGTCAAGGTCATTCATTTGAACAAACTTGGTAGTCCTTCATCCCAGCATGTCACAGGCCCAATATCTACACTCTGAGCCTTTTGGTTAATGAGAAGAAGTTGTTTAAAGATTTTAACATATTTGACCCCTGTGACCTTGAAAGTGGGTCAAGGCCATTCATTTGAACAAACTTGGTAGAGCTCCATGCCAGTATCCTCTGTGCCAAGTATTAGCCCCCTAGACCTTCTAGTATTTGAGAAGAAGTCGTTTGAATGAAAAGTTTACGGACGGCGGACGGCGCACGGCGCACGGCGGACGACGACGGACGAAGCATGATGACTATAGGTCATCAGACCCTTCGGGTCCAGATGACCTAAAAATGCTCAAGAGGAATGTGAAATTTCCCTGTTCTTTAAGATTTGTTTCAACAGATCCTAGTGAATGTGATATTATTGAATACATAGCACAAGTTAAATTATGCAATGACACTGTAACTGTAAATTACAGTGGTGTACCATGGAGTGTAAAAAAATACTTAGAATCTGCTTTGTCAACAATTAACACGTGAAGAACTCGATGTTACAATTAAGGCTGAGCTGTTTGTCTAATACAGGATATCAGCAAAAAACAAATTACAAGCAATTAGTAAATTGCTGGATACAAATGGCTTGCAAGCATGTAAATTCTGGTAACGCTAAACATAATTCACTGTCCATGACAGCATATCAAGACATTTTGAACAAATATGCTAAAGACAATGTATTGTCTATTCCTGGTAAATACCATTATAAATAAGCAAAGGTGCTTCTCCTACCCTCTGATACTACTGCCGTGGACCTTTTTTCACAAGTTTGATACACTGGCTGTTGACATGACGCTTTGATGGGTAAGTCTTGGTATATTTCAGAGGGTATGGCATGATTTGTGTCCATACACCAACATCATAAAACCATGTACAGACGTGTGCAACTTGTGTCAAAACTTTTCACAGATTATCTGTGAGAAGAAACAAGTCTTGGAGGAATACAGCAACCATATCAACCAGGCTAAACAACAGAGAAACCTAAACAGACAGCCATGCACAGAAAGCAAAGAAAAGAGTTCATATTGCTTCCAGAAAAATAGAAATTAGCAGATTATTGATTTACCAATGACATCACACTTTCCGAGACACCACTTGGATATACTTTAGTGTAATTCTGTGAGCTATGTTGGAGCAAGTTCATGTCAAATGAATTAACAACTCTGGTAGAAATTTGTAATATCCTATCCATATTGTTTGTAAATGAGGTAAAAATCTGATTAATACGATGATTTTGACAAAAAAAATATTTGAAAAGCTTTGCTTAAAAACATGTAAGTACATGGGTCACTCGGCTAAGTTGGAAAAGGATTAAAACAGGTATTGGATCATTTGTATTTTGATGAAATGAAATTCAGTTTATATATTTTCATTTGGTAGGTAATCTGTCCTGTTTTGTTGATGGAAGTTTCAATTACATCTGGGACTTTTCACTGCAAATTCGTGTTTCCTATCATGTTCAGCAAGTGGGCCCTATATTCCTGAAAGTCGTACAAAACACTTACTGGTCGTTGTTCTATATCTCATTTACTATGATGTGACATTAAAAGACATTTCCATTGCTATGAAAATATCCTATGTTTAAAAAATGCTTTCTTACTTATCTATACTCACTCACATGTGTTTCATTAAACAGGAATACAATTTTTTTTACTTGATAAATGAGGCTGAACACTCTGGGATAGGTAAAGGAGTTATCTCA